CGTAACTTCCACGAATGAATGAGTATGTATTGATTGGTTCTGTTGCATTCTTGCGAACTCTTGAATCAGCCATAACTACTAATGAACGTTTTGAATCATCAATAGAAGTCATTATATCAATATCATAATCATTGCAGGAATAACATTTAATCATTCTGTTCGAAACTGAATAGAAGAAATTAGTGTTGCAATAAATGTGAAGACCTCCTGAAGCGGTTTTAACGATAACATCTTTATCCGAAAGTTTTGATAAAATGTCTTTTCTAACTGTTTCTTTAAGTTCATCATTGTACGATTTATTGATATCAACATCTATAATCGTTAAATTTGAAATTTTATTTATTAATAAAGCCATACCAGTTTTCCTTCCTCTTCCTCCATCGTGTTTGAGGTAGTTATGTAAATCAATCTTGTTTTCACCAATTCTTTCGTTGAGGGTTTTAGTTTCTGCCACAACTAATTCCTCAGCTAATGAATCAATAACTTTTTCATCAGAAACGATATAGTTGCTGTTGTTGTTTGTTGCTGTCATTTATATAGGAATAAAAAATAAAAATAATTTTAAAACTAACTTTATTTTTGGGCTGCATCAAATTTCCAGGACTGTTGTCAAAATGTCATGTTGTCTCATTTTTTCAGAGAAGTTAATTAACCTGGTGACATGGTGACGTAGTGACACCCTCAGTTCTTCAAAAATAATTAATTATTGAATAACCTGAAAAACATTAACGATAAAATTTATTTTTGGTCGTTTATGACAAAAATAAATGGTTCATTTACTCACAATATTTTTTTACAAAACGACCCCAAACTTTTAACTTCTTTTCTGCAGTTTCTAATGCTATCTTAGCGAGTTCATATTCTCTAAATTCTCTCTTTAAATCTTCTTGTTCCCATTGGTCTAGTTCGTATGGAGAATTCTATAACCATAATATTATCTCACGTTATGTTCTAATTGTTTTTCACACATTTTTTCTAACTTCTTCTTCAAACAAATGTTAGCATTCTCTACTGTATCTTCGAGTTCTTCTTCATCTAATTTCTCATGAACTTTCTTGTCTATGGAGTCCATAATTTTCCAACTGCTATGCAATATTTTGGAGAAGCCCACATTGCTATATAGTTTATAAGTCTTGGTCTACATACGTTCCTCTAACTTGTTTGATTTCATCAGGAATTCCTGCATGAATTTTGTATAAAAAGCAACAGTCCGATTCCGGCGGTTGCTATATTTTCACAAAATGCCTTATAATACCCTTCCCAGGACTTATTTTCCAACAACTTTCTAAAGTCTTTCCTAAACTGCTGACACATATTTGTTGCATTAATGTAACCATCCTTGTCTCTACGTAAGACTTCAATACCGTTATAAGTGCCTTTTGTGAATGTTTCACCATTAGATTTGTTCGTAAATGATTTTGCTTCGACTGACATTTCTGTTCTTACATACAAAATAAAAAATGAAACCGATTTTAAAACTAACTTTATTTTTGGGCTGCATCAAATTTCCAGGACTGTTGTCAAAATGTCATGTTGTCTCATTTTTTCAGAGAAGTTAATTAACCTGGTGACATGGTGACGTAGTGACACCCTCAGTTCTTCAAAAATAATTAATTATTGAATAACCTGAAAAACATTAACGCAAACATTAACGTAAACATTATTTCTGCAGTTCATCCATTACTTCATTACCCAATTAATTACAGACATAAAATATATTTAGTTCATTCGGTAAGCCTTGACCCAAAGGTCTGGGCTCAAGCACATTCAATGAACGCGGTACCATGCGAATACAGTCACAAATGGTGGCATGTAATCTTTACCCGAGCCTGTTGGATTTGTTGTGAAAGTGTGTGAATGATTTCCTGCGGTTCCACAGAAAATACCCGTGCTTGAATCTACTGGGTCAGTTGAAATATCAGATCTATTCATTCCCTGTCTATTCGAACCCGCTGCAAGATTTGTATAACCTCTTTTTGTTATTGAATGTGAATGATTACCTGTTGTGTTTGTAGTTCCTGTATGAGTGTGCGGTGGAAGGTTTGCTTCTTTAATTTTCTTCGAACCCCCTGTTTGCTTTGAATATCTAGCACAGTATAAGAATTTATCTACAATCTGCTTCCACGTACCAAAACCTAAAACTGTTGCTGGATTTGTTGAGTTCATTGACGTATAAATAGAACCAACAGGATATAATGTTTGAAGAATTTCATTTTTCATGCTTGTAATCACATCATTTACTTCCGACTTCTTTGCATAATTTTCATCAACATAAGTTTTATCTGCTTTAAGATCTAAACATCCTGAAACCCATCCCGTATCGGCTTTAACTTTAAAAGTCTCCAATGTCCATTCATGATACCATTCAACCTTTTCTTTAATTTCATTATCTTTTTCATCAACATAAACCAAATTTGCCTTCTTATTTAACTCACTATCCACATATTCCTTATCCACCCTCTTCATTATGTCATTTAGGAAACCTTCTATGAATTCCTCATTTAAATTAAATCTTCCAATCTTCAAAACTTTAGGAAATGCATTTAATGCGTAATATCTCTGTTCTTCTGGTGGAATTGATGTTATATCATCCGTTATTCCTTTAATTTTTGAATTCATAAATAAAATTTCTTTTATATTTGATATCACTGCACCACCTTTGCAAACGAATTCGAAATGTTCATTTTTCAATACTATCTCCAAATCTCCATATTTCAACCTTTGCGTTTGTTCTGCCGTCTTTGAATTATATGCATATATGGCGTATGTAATGGTCTGAAGGACCTGGGCGCTTTGCGCCTTAAGTTGCTGTTGTTTAATCATTTATTATGATTTAAAAATAAATATTTAATCCGTTATCTCATCGGCTATTTTCTCTATTTGAAATTGCCATAATATTTCATTCATAAATTCTAAATCACAATCAAATAGGTCAGTTATTCTAAATTTAATATTTGATAAATCTTTTGAATGAAGAATAAATGAATTCCCAGATAATTGAAACGGATATGATAAAGAAAATGTGTTTAAGTTGATGGATAAAATGTTTTGTATTGATGGGTAAGAGTTAGGGTCTAATGTTTGATGTGAAAATCTCATTGGGGTATTAACTTTATCACATTTGATTAAAATGAAATTGGAACCGTGTCAGAATACAAAACATCCCCAACATCTTTTTCAAAATTTAATATCCCCAACAATGAACGAAGATGAGGAGTACAAAATTTAATTTTCAGCGGGAATTTAATAAGGTTATTTATTTCATCAAGTTCAAAAAGTTTATCAGGTTTTGATTTAAAATTTTCTTCATACCATACGATAAATGATTCATTTAAATAACTTAAAATCATGTTAATATCCCATTTTGCTATCACATTATTTATATACATATCATACGTTTTTTCAAGGTCATCTTTAATAAATGATATATAATCTGAAGGGTCTAAAAGAATGGGATTAAATTTACCACTCACAGAAACGAGAGTAACATTATAGATTCCGCTAACTGTTAAATTTAATTCACAGCTATTATTCGAAATAATATTGATAATTGACATTTTTATTACGATTAAAAATATGGTAAAGCGTTATTTTCCAGTGATAAATAAAACTAGAATAAGATTACCTCAAGAATTCATAAATTCAACGAATAAGAAATTCATTCATGTTATAAATTTTAGTGTTTTCAGAAAATATGAGTCAGTGTCATATTCATCAACAGGTTATATTTCACTTCATTCAAATTTAGTTCAATCAAACCCATATAATGACCATTTCTTAAGATTTTCAGATGGTATTAAAAATGTAATTGATAGATTAAAATATGAACAGATTGACAATATCGAATTTTTGGAATTTTGGTTTAAATATCCCGATGGAAAAAGATTGAAGTTAAAGATAAAGCTGATACTATAACAAAAACAATTACAATGACCGATCCGGATAGTGGGGAACAAAAAGAAATAAAACAAACGATAGAAACTGGTGAAAGGTCAATTATTATTGATTATGATTCAAAGGATTATTATTCGATAATGTTAATGCTTGAATATTAAATAGCCTTAACAAAGAATTTTTCAAGTGATATTTTATATTCATCAACTATTTTATTATAAATATCATTATATGTTAAATGAAGTTCAGTTGTTGTTCCGTTCTTTGATATCTTAATTGTGCTAATATCCTTTATAGGATTTATTTTTGCAACTGTTCCGCAGTATGAAACCTCATCATCTATGAAAAATTGAATCTTAACGTCTGAATCTTGAACATCACAAAGAATGGCGATAATGTGAATTAATGATTCATAAGGTAAAATAATTAAACCGGATTGGTCAATTAAATTTATTATTGAATCATAATTATTAATTATTATATCACGGTAAATTTTCATTAATTCAGAATTAATGTCTATTTTATATGGGTTCTCAATGTTTGATGAAAGAGGTGCTGGGTATGTTGGATAAGTGGGAATTTCAACGGGTTCTTTACCGGGTTCAGATAAAATGATTGGGTCTCCATCTTCTTTATTTTGCTCCTCCCCCCGTTTCGGTAAGTCACGAGTTAATAAATTTGGTTGAGTTGCTGACCTTGTTAGTTCAGGGCTAACATTAACTTTAACATTTTGAATAATTCGTGATTTATCATCATTTACGTTATAACCAACCGTAATCTCTGCTTTTGCGTTAGTGTTCTTTTGACTAGTGAAACATCTTCTCATTTATATTCGAATAAAAAAATATATTTAAACTTTTATTTTGCTGGAAGTTTTGAATCTATTATTCCCTGTATTTGTTCTTGAAGTTGATTTTTAGCTGGTTCATTGTAATTAATAGACCTAATATATTCATTAATTGCATTCTTATAATCATCTGATTTCTCAAATTTTCTTTTATCTGATTCCTTAACTAAATCATAAGTTAAACCTCGTTGCTGATATAATGGTTTCTTAATTAAATCTTTGAATGCTTGAGATAAAGCACCTGATGCAATTCTTGCTACTATAATTGGTTGGAATTGATGTTTAAGTTCATCTTTAACATTTGCGAAAACTGGATCGAATAAAGCAACTTTAAAGAATTTCTTAGCTGAAATTTCAGGTCTAATATTTGCATATTGACCATCAAACTGGTTAGAATATCGTGGTAATCCATCCGGTCTCTCTTCAATAGCATTTAATTCTTCATTGAAATAAGAATATGGATTATAACGGTATGAATTAATTGGACCATTTTCACCTTCTCCAATGTATTGTTTAACAGCTTTTCCATTTTCATCAAATTGCATAGGATAACGTTCATTATATGCTTTACGTTTAGGATAATCAGTTATAGTTAATTTGTAACCATTTATGACTTTAATATTACCTTGACCATCAGTAACGAAAACTTCATTTATACCATCAGGTTTTCCATTTGGACCTGTAATGTCTGCTTCGTGTGCTTCCCAATTTGGACCTTGACGTTTGGCATATGCTTGAGCTTCTGGTAATGTTAAAACATTTCTCATTTGTTTAACATCTTTTTGAAGACCGGCAACAATATGAACTAATTCTTTCATTCCATCAGGAACTTTCATAGTTCTATTATATACACCCTTTTTGTTTGTTCCTTGTTTTAATGGAACCTGTAGAAGATTTGCTATTTCAGTCATGTTTAATTATAAATAAAAAATAAAAATTAATTATAAAAAGTTAATCAAATTTAACACTTCCTTTATTTAAATCAACTATTATTTTTCCATGTTCACCTAATTGCTGATATTGTGTAAAGTTCATTAATGCTCATTGGTAAATTCACTTGATAAAGCATAACGTTCAACTGTTGACGACTAAACCCACTGAAAATGAAAAGGGTTGATAGATTTGATTTAATGTTTGTGCTTAATGCTTTGAAGTATTGAACAGCCATAAAAATGAACACTGAATGTGTCGACATTGAGTTAATAACTGATTAAAATATGATTTCTCATTTGTTATTAGTTTTGATTTCACTGCATCATCTAGAAAAATGAGTGAATGCAAAAATTCTCTATCAAAATTTGAAATAGAAAGTGTTTCAAATAATTCACCCTTGTTTATCAATAATTTTATCCTCTAATCCTTGCTTCTTGATTGTATTATATAATTCTTTATACATTAAAAAGTTTTTTAAATAATCTTCTGCTTCTTCTTGTGATAAATAAATAATTGGAATTTTGATTAAATGCTTTAAAGATTCAAATGTATCATCTGAAGGTGAACCTGAACGGTTGATATAAATTAACACATGTGAATAGGGGGAAGTGTTAGCAATAATGATAATTTGTTTTAATATCGTTAATGTTTTACCTTTATTTTGTTTACCAATTGCTGCAGTGATTGAATTTAAATAACATTCAGAATATGGAATTTTCATTAATTTTTCCTTAGATAGAGCATTTCTATTATCACTCAATGCTTCATTAATCATATCATCTACGTATGTATTATATACTCCTGCTAATTCTTCATAAGGAGTGGATGAATTTAAATCCATTTAATCAAAAATAAATTTATAATTTTAAACATTTCTATTCATCAATATTTCATCATATGAACTTCTATACTGTGGTGGTGTACCTGTTGGATGATATTTCAAACCTTCGTCCGGTGTCCATGTCCAATATGTAGTCCTAGTAAACCAAACCTGAGGAGGATTTGTCACCTTTGAACAGTAAGTGTCATTTTCACCCTGAATGATTGGATAAGCTTTCACTTGTACTGTAACTTGTGAGTTGAAAGTTTCTAATCCATCAAAGAATATACCCGCTCCATCACGTTGAACTGGAATAGTGCATAAGAATGAAGTTTGGTCTTTCCATGTTCTAGCTAATGGTGTGCCATTATCATCATTCAGTGGTCTAGTTAATGAGTCCTCATATTCTTCTGTGCATTCATTCACTCCATCTAAATCAGAAGCTTGAAGCATACGTGTAAAGAATATGTCACCCACTGTGGTCATCGCTTGATCGGGGAAGTTTCTGGAATCTATAGTGACCTGAAGACCTCGAAGCATTGGATTTTCTAAAACTGTTCTTTGCATTGCATTCTTCGGAAATGTTAACACAACATCTGTAACATTATGAAGAGCGTATGAGAAATCCGAGCTAATACCTTCAGGAGTGATGCAACCTCCATTTAGTGAACGAACGTCAATATGTTGAGCTGGAATCATGAATGGATCTTCCTTACTATATAAACGTGGTATTGCTTTAACCGATTCTTCAATTAAACCGTATCCTGGTGTAATACATTTATCCTCTAAAACTTCCATCTTTGTGCATGAAATAATAACGTCATCAACTGTTGCGTCAGCAGATGTGGCGGCTAAGCTTGTAATTAATTTGGTAGGAAGTCCGATTTGTTGGAATTTGCGATCATATTTATAAACATGATTCATAATCTTTTCATAATTTTCATCAGTTATCTTTTCATAAACGTAATTTTGTAAATCAGCAACTCTTAACGGGTCAACCTGACAAAATACTAAAGCATCCCTGAAAACATAATATTTAAGAATGATATCACCAAATGATTTAGGATAATCATCGAACGCCTGAAATGCTAACAAATCATTTACCGGAATAATCATATCAAAAGTGACATCAACTTCTTCATTTGCTCTCTTGAAAACTTCTGAGGGGTCAATATATTTACCACATACTGAGTTATCATATTTTTGAACATTATTATATAACGAATGAACAAACTTTTTAACTTTCCTTTCTGATTTTGGTTTATATGTTGCAAATGCGAAAGATTCACGGGCGCAATCCATCTGAAGATAACCGGCATCACCTCTTTCGGTTTCTACTTCTAATTGTTTAAAGCTTTGATTTGATGATTTGTAACCAACGAATAAACGCATGCATTTAAAAGCGGCATCACATGTGAAAGCTTTATTTGAAACTAGAGTTGCTTTAACTTTGCGTTTAATATATGTGTCACCTAATTGGTTCACATCATGAGCCGGGTTTGTAATTATTAAATGAGTTTGTTTATCATCAAAATATGGAGCATCAGAGTCATAGCATGAACTTTCAAGTTCTCTATAATATCTTCTACCGTCATTCTTTGCGAATATTTCATTTATCTTTTCGAATGAATGAAACACATTTCCATTAATCGGTTTAGTGTTTGGCACCAAATAGTTAGTCGTCATTTATTAATAAATAAAAAATCAAAATTAAAAGATGAAAATGAATTTTTAATTTTAATGAAATAATCAACTATGGCTGCAGGTATATTTAAGAAACTGTGGGATAAAGTAAAAAGAGGAGCGAGTAAAGTTTGGGAAACATTGAAGAAGGGAGCAAATTGGATATTTAAGAATAAAGAAGCAATTAGTGACGTTGCTGAATCAATAACACCAAAAGCTGCCCCAATAAGAGAAGTTTTAAATAAAGGAGAAAAAGTTTATCAAAGACTACAACCGATACTAAGATAAAAATAATATTTATTTTTCCACTAACCACCCCCTATTTTATTAAGTATTCCTTCAGCTATTCCACCAACCGCGTTACCTGCTTGTGCTCCCATCGCCGGATTACCTGCTTTAGTACCTAATACTCCACCTATGATAGTTCCTGCTGTTTTCGCTACTGGTGCCAAAAAGTTTGCAACGGGTTTAATAATCTTTTTATGAACCCAACCCGCAGCTTTCTTAATTCCATCCCATAATTTTTTAAAGAATCCTGCCGCCATTTCTGATTTAATATTAATTAAAAAATATATTTCATCACTTATATTCTAATTTTTATTTAATGATAAATGAAACCGATTTTAAAAATAAATGAAACAGAGGAGGAAGAAATAAATGAAAGTGAAAATGTTCAACAAAAAATAAATGTTGTTAAATCAATTACTGAAATAAATTTTTTTTCATCTGTTGAAGAATTTAATGACTATTATGCTAATAATAAAAAATTATTTGAAGAATTGACAACGTGTAAATTGAATAAAATGTTTAAAGTTGATGGATTCAAAATTTCAAAAATAAAAGGAGTGGTTAGTTTGAAATCTATTCCTCAATCAAGAATCACCTCATTAATGAAAATTGATGATTTAACAAAAAGAATAGAAGAGATTGAAGAAAGAATGAATCAAATAATTGATTTCATAAATTCAAATAATCATTAGTTTCTTAAAGTTCAATGTTGAACTCATCAAATTCTTTTTAAAGTTTATGACTCCATTGATTCCATGAAATTAAATATTCTTTATCATTATATTTATACCTCATTAGCTTATTTTGGCTTTCATATTCATTTAATAATTCACAATCTTCATTTTTAAATTGAAGTTTAACCCATTCAGGATTTAAACAATGTTTAATTAATCGCGGAATATCTGACATCATCTATATATAGCTTCTTTTATAAAAGATAAAAAATAAATTATTTTAAAATTAATGTTAATTTTTTAATGATTTATAAATAAATATATTTTAATGCATCGTCTATATATAGATGTAACAAAAAAAGTCACACAACCCGTCCTATCATACTACTAATCAGATTGAATTTTTCCAATTTTTTTTTGTTTTTGGAAAAACGAAGATAAACACAAAGGATTTTGAAGTGAAAAAATGGAAAACGAATTTTTTTTGGAAATTTTTTAACTTAAATCAACTTTTTCTCATCAATACAAAGGAAAATCGGAAATTCAATCGAAAACATATAGGAATAAATGGGAATTTCTCGCATATGTTCGTACATGCGCAAATACTATACCTTTTGCGAATAAAGAATTTTTTCATAAAAAAATTTTTTAGGAATTAGCATATCGGCGTTTTGCGACATTGCCAAACGCCAGATTTTAACCCGACATATGAGCATAAGCTCGTATATTGGAATAAACTCGACTTATTCCATATTAAAGTTATTATAATAATAAGGCACTTAATGTGCAAATCTAATTGAATTAGAAAATGCACATTAAGTGCCTTTTATTGGAATATGTAATACCACATATGGAATATGAAATATGATTTGCGGAATACCACATATAGAATATGTAATCAAAATACAAAGATATTTTATATAACAATTAATTTTTTTTATTTTTTCAGCAAGTGTGGATAAAAAAGGATTACAAACAAATTGAATAGTTCCTATGTCCTTTTTTTGTTTCAAAAAAATCAATAAATTAATGATTTGTCTCAAACAAATAAATTAATGAATTGCAATTGATTTGAGTTGCTATAGACATTATAAAAGGTTCAAAAGTTTATATAAACCTAGTAAATTAAAATAAAATTTTCATGAATTGAACATATTAGTTGGGTTCCGCTTTGGCAAACTTTCCTGTGAAATTTTTTGGGAAAAATGTTGATGGATATTTGGGAATAGTTTAGTCGGTTTTTGCATTTTTAAAATGTTAGTCACCTTTCTCCTTCCAAAGTGAAAAAAATTGTTTAAAATATAAAAAGAATTTTTATTCGCATGGGCGACAAACAAGGATTTATAAATAAATAATGGGGCTTTGAGTATTGATCTGAATTGAATCAGATAATTAGCCGTAAAAAATCTTCTCATAACGTTTTCTCATGCATGAAAGATGGCTATGAGTGGCGTTAATGAGGGCGTTTGATAATTGAATGGAACAAATAGTTCATTTTTTTAGATGTTTTCTTCTAAATACTGGCGCTTATACTAGATAGAAACTTCTATCGGTATTCTCGGCGTAATACTTTCGCCTGAGTGATGCTATCTCGGACATAGTCAGAGATTAATCTTTCGACGAAATGGTAGAAATATTTCTTTTGAAATATTTTAGGGGCTCTGAGGCACAGCCAGAAGGTCTCCGCCATTTCAACCGTACCTAGAAAATTAATCTCAATATATTATGTTGGGTCGTCGCAGTGATTCACTGTTAATCATCACTTTAGCGTTGCTTCGCCAGCTTTAGAATGTATCTAAAAAAGTAGTAATTCATAAAATCCGGAATTATGGAATATTTTTACAGGCGTGAATAATGTAAAAAAGTTCTAAAATTACGATTCTCGAACTTATTATTATTTTTGATTGGAATACTATTTTAATATTTCAATCAAAAATAATAATAAGTTCGAGAATCTAATTTTTACTTATGCACCAGTCAAACTTTTATTTTTTAAATAAACTATTTCTATTAAAAGATTTTAAACGTTTTTTTAATTCTTCACAGTTTCTTAATTTCGAGTTTAAAATGATATATTAGGATATCTAGATATGATTAAATTGATTGGGTTTCATTATTTATTAATTTTGAACTATATTTCAAATTTGATAAGATTTTTATATCTTTTAATCACTTCATTTATCAACATGGATGAACCATGCGATGAAGATATCATCACCAAGATAAAAGAATCCAGAAGGGCGAACATTGTTGTTACTGTTACACCTGAGAATTTCGACACAGATGAAGAGCCATTAAATGAAGAAGAGGCAAAAGAGATGACATTGACCAATCCAATGCCCAGGTTCTCGATTTCAATATTCATCAGGATGCATCCAAAGCTCCAGCTCCGATCATTGTGCAACTTCACATATGAACAGTTGGAATACCTCGCTGACATTATTGAATCCAACTGTGGAAGGGCCAGAAGAGGAAGGAAGGTCAAATTTTCAACAATCGAGTCTTCCTTCCTCACGCTCACATATTACTGCACATACTTGCCCTATTCAGCATTATGTCCGTTGCTACATATTTCCCAGTCATGCTATTCCAAATTAGTTACAAGAACTACCAATGTTGCATTTCCAATCTTTGCGAGCTATTTTCTTCCCAATCACTGTCCACCGTTAACTTCAATGAAGAACAAATTTACAAACTTCCCTGATGCTGTTGCAGCTGTAGACAGCACTACAATTCCTTTCAACATTCCTTCGGTAAAGGAAGAGAGGCTTTATCGTTGGGATGAAAAAAACCACTGCAACGGTATTAAGCTCCAAGTCCTCGTGTCACCAGATGGAAAAGCCATACATCAAAACGTTGAGTTTATGGCTGCAGTCCATGACAAGAAGATTTTCGATTTGTCAAAAGTCTCGGATTTTTTGACAGTAAAGCGAGGATTTGATGATTACCAATATCCTGTACTTGCCGACCGGGGCTATATTGGAATCCAGAAATATCACCTTACTGCCGTGGTGATGAAGAGAAGCCACGAAGAAGCAGACGTTGAACGCAACAACGCCATTGCCCAAGACAGGCAGATTGTCGAGCGTTTCTTTGCACGTTTCAAGTCATGCTGGTCCTGCATGAAAAATGGTTTTCGAGGTGAGCGCACATCACTTCCTCTGATCATATCAGGTTTAGTCGGTTTGACAAATTATAACATTGATGGATCACCCCTGAATGATAATGAAGAGTTACTCCTTTTCGAAGATTTTACACCAACAAAGGTTCTTCCTTCAAGCGATACCGTCGCTGCTGTTGTTGCACCCTCCATGAAACCATCAAAGCGGAACATCATTGCTGTCGCTCATCAAGCTGTCGATATCATACAGTCATCACAAGAGGCGAACTACCTTTACCCAATTAAAGGTGGTATTGTTGGTCTTCATAATATGGGAAATACGTGTCATTTGAACGTATGTTTACAGGTTCTGTTCTACATATCCGAAGTGAGAACAGAAGTTTTGAAGGTTGCCAATCAGTCCTCTCCCATCGTAACAGAGATGTCAAGTATCTTTACAAATTTGAATTCATTGAAGTCCAAAGGATTAGTCTTCGTTCCCCATGAACTTGCCACATTACTTGGTAACTCAACATATGAGGCACAAGATTGTGATGACACGATGACAAGATTGATCACAGATCTCGCAGAGCAAATACCAGGAATCGGTCAACTCTTCCGAATCACTTACCGTGATAGTGCCAACGAACAAACAAATTGCTACTCGATTCACACCAGAATTGGAGAACCAGATCTCGATCATGCCATTCAATATCATTTGTCAACTACAAGGAACACATCATGGCCACAATTCTTGACTTTCGACATTCAGAGAGAGTGGCAGAATGATTCGATTCATCAAGTCATCTTTGACTTCCCGAAAAAGTTGACACTCCCAACAGTCGAAAGGCAAAGATATCAATTGATTGCAATTGTTGCCTATTGCAATTTTCATTACGTGGTCTTTTTGCAAAAAAGTGCATATTGGATCATGATCAATGATGAAGTCGCATACTCTGTTCCATCAACAGATATCAATGCATTGAAGGGATGCTCAACTGCTGAGATGCCACCTTTATGGTACAAGACTCTCGAACACAAATGGCTCGCAAAGATGCTCATTTATCGAATGGTTCAATGAAGAAAATCCATAACATTCTCCTAAGATTTTTTTAATTTATCTCAATTAAAAATTTTATTATTACCTAAATTAATTTTGTAAACTATTTTTGAATAGTTTACAATTTATCCTAATGGGACCCATATGCGGGTTCAATTTCTGGTTTATCATCTAGATATATTATGAAAGCCACTCAAAGGGTGATTGATTTTAGGATGTTCTTAGAAGATTTTTCGTTCATTTATATTAATTTTGTATTCCCGATTTACATTCACTAGCAAATCAATGCATTTCACACTTTAAATGACAATTAAATTCTAAGACATTGCTAGAACTGCAATTTCCATAAAAAGTTTTAGTGTAAATTGCTTAAATAAATAATTATTTTCATTATTTTTCTCCAACAAGCTTGAAAATCAAACGAAAACTTTACAAAATACTTATTTACTCATTTGTAAATATAAATTTCTAACAATTTTTATCCTGAATTTAACATAATACTGTATTTCTAAAATTTGCACTAGTTCATTCCTAATTGATGCTCGGATTTCGGTATTCCATATGTGGTATTACATATTCCAATAAAAGGCACTTAATGTGCATTTTCTAATTCAATTAGATTTGCACATTAAGTGCCTTATTATTATAATAACTTTAATATGGAATAAGTCGAGTTTATTCCAATATACGAGCTTATGCTCATATGTCGGGTTAAAATCTGGCGTTTGGCAATGTCGCAAAACGCCGATATGCTAATTCCTAAAAAATTTTTTTATGAAAAAATTCTTTATTCGCAAAAGGTATAGTATTTGCTCATGTACGAACATATGCGAGAAATTCCCAATATCATTGATTTATAAATGAATAATGTTATTAGATTTCCAACAAAATTCAAAATTGTATTTTTTAAATTTGGCACCAATACTATAAAGGTTATAAGTTTTTAATTTGTATACTCCAGGTATGCTCGTTGAGTGCTAGCTTTACTTGAAATTCGTCTAATATTTCTGATTTGAAAGCCATATTTCATTAATATTAATAAATTTCAGATTGCAAATATGTGATGAATTCATTTTTCAAGACAGAACTTCAAAAATCAATTTCAATTTGAATTACACGGGGTCTGAAAAAACAATATTGGTAACAATTTTTTCAAATTTTTCATGAGTGAGCACGAACCTGTTGCAATTACCAAAACTCGGAAAAGAAATGGAGTTACACAATATTTTGTGATATATTCTGATACCAAAGACGGTAAAGGTCAATGGGTTAAAGAAACGGATTTAAAATGTCAAAGTTTAATAGAACAATTCGAAGGAACAGAAATAGACAAGAAGAAAGTAGCTAGAAAACCAAGTGCTACCCCACCACGACGCATTCAAAAAATCGCAGGAGCAATGGAAATTAATAATGAAATTGTTTTTCTTGTTAAATTTACTGATTCAGAGAATTTCGAAAATGTTTCACACGCTGATATGAAAAGCAGATACACAAAATCTCTCTTGGCTTATTATGAACAACATATTTTCGTTGTTGATGAATAGTTTGAGTCTAGCTATACGAATTTACGCACACAATTTTAATGTATCATGTATACTTGATATTACAGGTATTTTTTTTTCATTCTTAAATTTCATCTTCAAATTCGCGAAAATTATCTATAATACTGATAATTACTCGAATACATGTACACATTACAGATCAAAAACGAATTTTCATTCAGATTTCTTCAAATTATTTATGAAATTATTATTATTTCAAATATTCGTCTTTAGTATATGCCATTCTTACAGACTTTGTTTTGGAACGATGATTTCATAACATACTTATGACGTTTGTTGTATTTTATATATTTTGTTTCTTATATATATTTTTTATTTATATATCAATGAATAAACTGTTTTGTCTATCCACTATTATTTTGCATAGGTAAAAATATTAAATCGAAGATTAATTCTTCATCAGAATATAGTTTTTTGTCTGGCAAAGGAAATTGATGTCAACTTATTGTAAAGAAAAACCATTTTCACGTGATGCCTATGTTCATTATATGACAATAATGATGTTATTATATTGACATGAAATACTCATTCAATTATTTTTTTTTTCTCTTCAAATGTCTTTCTTCAGCAAATTCCGTGCTTTTCCCGAATGGCGTGATGCTTCATCAAATCTTGAAGACGCTGTAAAGAGTGATAAGAAGTTCATTGAAGCTTTCGTTAAGTCAACAGAGACTTCTTTTGTCGAATTTGTTCGCAAACAACACGAACAGATCAATGATCCTCTTTTCCGCGTAGCTGACAAGTTCCCAACAATCAAGCAAGCTAGAGGAACAGAATGCAACAACCTCATCAAATTTAAAGAGGACTTCGATAAAATTAAAACAATCTGGGATGACTTTGAAACAAAGAAGAAGGCACATGCCAAGGTTACAGAGAATTGCGAAAAGTCAAAGAAGAATGCAGAAAAGGCAGAACAAAATCTTACAAAGGCTCGTGCTAGATCTACCAACGAGATTGAGCTTCAAAAGGCAGAAAACAACTTCGATATTGCTAGCCGTCAAAAGCAAGTTGATATTGCCAACTTTGAAGAGTCTGAGAGAAACATGGCATTCGCAATCAAAGAATACAAGGTTCAGCTTTTCCAGCAAATTCTTGTATCTATTTCCAACTATGCTTCTTCGAACACTACAAACTCTGCCTCACTTTACCAGATTGGCGAAGATATGAAGCTTACTGCTTCTACAATCCCAACTCCAGAAGATCCAACAGTACGTGACCTTACAACACAACTCCAGGCTCTTCGTGCCGAGCCTATTGATCAATAAATCGATCATTGAAATCAGTCATTTTTAAATCTCTCGATCAAATATTACATAAATCTTTTTAAATTAAGTATATTTTTCTAACCATAGTAAATCTACCAATATTATCCGCTACTAGGTGAACAAATACACATATTTTTAAAATTTTATCTTAGTTTTTAATGAATCGATGCAAATCAAAGAATGGATAAATATCCGTTCTATTAGAGAATAGGAAAACAAGAAGCATTTGCTACAAAATGGGATTTTTATGATTGAGCTGATAAAATCTTTATGATTATGATGTAAAATGCAAAACATATATTTACGCATGACATGAAAGTCCTCTTTTTGAAAAAAATATATGATTTAACTGTTCAAGGAGATAATTTCAATTTTTCTCCAAGCTCAATGAATGTAATCGTAAAGAAACGAGGTGATGCAATGAAAACAGCTCGTCCAATGATTATATGTTCTTGACTATATATATGCATAAATTTAACGAAAAAATGCATTTAATGTAACTGGGATGTAAATTTAAAACTTAATAATAAAATATCCTAATTGTAAAATGAAAAATTAGTAAGTTTTCGAGTAATTTAAAAATAAGTTAGAGTTTTTTTTATTTGAATTTTTCGATATCGCCTTTGATGCGGGCAACATCAGCACCAACAAACTGATCTAATGTCTTGACATCATTTCCTTCCTTCTTCATGAAGAAGAGAGCTGGAATTGAGGAGACTCCGAAAGCAGAAGCTGCATTGCCGTTCTGATCGACATCAACCTTGATGAATGTGACATCCTTGTTATTTTGAGCAATGGATGGAAGGATTTGGCCAAGGCGTTGGCATGGACCGCACCACGTTGCGAAGAAGTCAACAAGAACTAAACCTGGAGCTTCCTTGATTCTGTTGAGGAGAGCTTCGTTACTGCCATTGAAGTGAACAATTGGATCGGACATTGTTAAAAATGAAGTGAGAGATATAAATTTTAACAAATTATCAAAATTTCAAAACCATCCAAAATTTGAATAAAAATTTCCTCGTAAATTGAGCCTTTATCAATGGTTTTAAAAATTATACATTACAGAGGATATAGAGCAATATTATTTAATTATTTGCAAAATCTGAAATTCAATGAATTCATTGAATTTTTTCCCAGGTATATCTGATCTCTCAATCTGTTTCCAATGTATCTGGAATATAATTGGTCGCCTTAGTAATGCCTAAAACATGGAGTTTATTCTATTATTAAGCATATTTAATAATTTTTGAAATTTCATTTCAACCATTTTGACACATATCGAAAAATTCACGCATGATATTAGCATAAAATATATAATAGAATTCATTACAATAATAATCGATAGCGATTTCAGTAATTTTTTAAATATCAAATTTTTATTTGCACATCTTTCGATCAAATCCTTACTCTTTATTTTGAAAAGTCAAAATAGAAATGTTTGCACTTTGTACACCAATGGTTTTCTGCTTTAATAACACCTTTGAGTGTTGGATAAGATTCATCAACGTCAATATTCTTTACGATATCGTTAAGAACATCTTCAGCTTCATATGGAACATCGGTGAATCCAAGTGCTTTGAGAATGTCTTCTGTATAACCGGAAAGTTTTCCGTCAATCTTCTCAAGTCCTGCAACAATCTTCTTTGAAGCAGTGTTAACATCAGTTGCAGCTTTCTTACCATCTTGAACACCTGGTTGATCATATGCATTGATCTCGAAGAATGATCCGAGGAATGTAACAATTCTCTCTTCAAGGGCAATCATCATACCAAATGTGAATTCTTGATGAGTGCTTTCTGTGTTCCCATAAGGAAGGCAAGCAATTGTCTACCCATTGATCCAGCTTGTTCATTTGCATAATCGTGTTCTCTCTTCTCGAAGAAAATCATTCTAACAAAGTTATCAGCAATTCCCTTTTGAACTTGCTGCATGAAAGAATGTTGTTCACATGTACCAACACCACCGAAAACAGTCTGTCCAGCGCGTGCTTCACTTCCATCCACTTTGAATTGCTTTCCAAGAGATTCCATATAAAGTTGCTGAAGATAATGAGCATATTCTCTCATGAATTCATTATAACAGAGAACAATCATGTTTCTGTGGCCAACCTTATGATTGTTAGCATCAATGGCTGTAGCATGTAAAGCAGCTGGGTTCTCACCTTCAGCACGTGTTAATGTATCCATGTATGACATGCCTTTAATAAATTGTGCATAATCACAACGTGCAAAAGCATATGGAACGAATCCAATTGCAGAGCTGACAGAAACACGACCACCTGTATCAATTTCCATGTGCCATGTGCGAATGAATTTATTTTCATGAGCGATCTTGTCAAGAAGAGAATCCTTGATTGTAACAGCTGCATTGTGTTCTCCAATAACAAGGTTTCTATCACGGCAAAGTTTCATCCATGTCTGAGCATTTCCTGCTGTTTCAGATGTGGAGCCAGACTTAGAAAGATGAACCATAATTGAAGCATCAATATTGATGTTAGATGTGATCTGATGGAACATATCTGAGTCTGTGTTGGAGATGAAATAGATCTTCATTGGAAGGCCAGATGTTGTATTGAAATCCATACCATACTTGGCAATGATAAGCATCAATGGTCCAAGATATGAACCACCAATACCATTGAAGATGATTGTCTCATACTTCTTGCCAGCAGATGTTTTGATAACACCATTAAGAACATCTTCAGCAAACTTCTTTGTTTCTTCCCACATTTCGAGTGTATGTGCAAGAGATTTTCCTTTTACAAGTTCCTTCTCCATGCGAAGGTTGTAGTGATCAACCATACGATCTTCACTCTCTTCCTTAACTTCTGTATGATTGACAATTTCTCCATTTTCCATTCTCTTGATCAAATCAAGTGCTTTTGCAACTTTAGGCTTGTATTCATCAATAATTGCTTGAAAATCATTTCCAAGTGTTGGCTCAAAGTGGATCTGCAATCTGAATCCAGATTTCTCGTCATAGTATGTTGATGACATCTAAATAAAGTGATGATTTGCCTATCATTCAAATTTGATAACAATTCAATTCTTTCAAAATAAATAACCGAATACTAAATTCAAATTTCATAAATTTTTCTTCGTAATTTTTATCTCATATATACGTAGAGAGAGCATCAAAAAGGAAAAGTTTTCTCCATTGAATATATAAAAAATTCAGATGATCGAATAAGAATTTTATCAAAGATATTATAATAAGCTTAACCGTACTAATGAATCTTCTAATTTTTCATAGGAGCCTATATATATTTAATAGATCATGAAAAAAAATCATGACATCTCAAAAAATACGAATATAATATTGATGAAAAACAAATTTGTTATTAAAAACTCTAAATAGTATATAATTTTATTAATAATATTCAGCAAAGAATGGATTATCAACCAACGATGTCGGGTATTGTTTCATTGCGTTATGGAAAACAGGTGCTCGTTCATTAACCGAGCCTTTCTCCTTATTCAGCAAGTTATTTATCTCCTCGATGACCGTTCCTTGGAACTTTGGATCGTACATCGAAACTAAACTCTGAAATGCAGAGGAAGTAAACGCCTGATCTGCTTCATTCATCAATATAATCAGTTCTACACTCGAAAACGTGAATAAATCATTAACTGTAATAATAGCACTCAATACATATGTAAAATGAGCTCTAAAAAGTGACAAAAGTTTGGAATTTCCACTTTCTGCAACGGCGAAGAACAAAGGTCTTACGACATCCCAGTTCTTTTGCCATGTTTCCTTATTGATATCATCGAAACAAGCAGCAGTAAACGATAAAACAGCTTCCATTCGATCTTCATAAGGTAATAATTCATTTGCGGAGTCTTGTGTTATGGCAGAAAGTGTTTCTAAGACCATAGCGACCTTATTACCATCTTTAATCCCATTATACTGCAATGAAAGTACTCCATTGAAGAATAATGCAATTAATTCATCGGCAGACGTATCTCCGTAATGTTTCATTAATCCGAAGTTAGCGATATTACTTGTTAAAGCAGCATTGATGAGTTGAATCAACATCTCCATTTGTTCAGCTCGAACTGCTTCTGGAGCATCTCCAACGACGTTCTCTGCAACTGCTCCACATATTTGTGTGGCTGCTCTGAAAAGCATGATTCCTGTCCCTGTAAATTTGAAGAAATCAGCTTTCTTTATTATATTTGTCCAGAGCGATACAATGATGCTAACTAAGGTTGCATCACCGGAGCAGGCATTAATTAGAGCCACAGTTGTGTCTACGTAGTTTTCTGAGATCCATTGGACAAATTTACGAATAAAAGTTTCAACAGACAGACCAATTACAACACCACTCAAGTCAGAATATAAATCAATGACTGAAAGCGGTGTCGGGTTCGATTCTATTTCTTTAAATCTTTGCTCAAAAGCATTGAGGAATTCGAGGAAATTACTACGAGATGTAATCAATTTGGCATACATTTCATAGAGTTTCTTGCGAACTTCGCAATGTTCTTCCGGATTTTGAAGTCCTTCGAATTCTATCGAAATATTGCGGTTATACAAGTTCTGTATAAGCTCAATGTTTCTTAATAATGCGTTGGATTGCTTGCGGCTAACGCATTTCTCAATCAAATTCAAAATGTCATCCAATAACTTAAATGTTCCATCTGAATCGTTGAACAATACAAGATCATACGTCAGTCGATTCAGAAGAACAGTCATCATAGGAACATATGGGTTGGTTCCGTAGTTATCACTACTTGAAAAGTGACAAAGAAGGAATTCACGACCAAAAGTGACAATTGATCGTTCCAATTCAATTGCTGGTTCACCGATTTGTACAGCGTATGCTCCAATGTGTTTCTGCGAAGACTGAATGAACAAAGAAATCTTTTCGGAGAGAAATTCTTCGGATTCTGCAAAGTTAATATTAGAAACGTTTCCTTGGAAGACTTTTATGCCGTGGAAACGAGCGGAAGCAAGCAATATCAAGAACTGAAGCTGTATTAGTGTTGCAGCAGTACAATTTGGAGATGAAGCCTCTGAAATTTTTTGATCAAAGATTTCTCCAATAAATTGAGTAAATTCTGGGTGGCAGAACTTAGTGGACTCCCAAATATGCCTAAGATCTCCACTGTCATATGATAAACTTGCATTTTCAGCGAGATCTGCGAAATCATCTGAATTTTGAATTTGTTCGAGGGCTGAAAGGACAATATTCTTAAGAACATCGAAAACAAACACGGATACATCGCTCTGAATGTCTGCAGTTAACTGCATTTCGGTTACAAAATTCCATATCACGATTGTATTTGAAATATGAGAAAACTTGGTCTGAAATATCTTTGTCGAGAATTGTCCGATCGTGTTGATGAATTCAATCCATGTTCTATCAACAGGAAAATGTTCAGATTGAATTTGATGGCAAATGTGAGCAATTGAGCAGCAAACGTATTGTATATACTCTTCATCGATCTGTAAGTCCATAATAACTTGTTTGAACTGGTCTGCTGAAAATAATAAAAATTGATACATTTCATCTTTCGTTGCCCACATGCTGGTGCTTGCTCTGAGGTAGAAATCGAGTACTTTGAACAATTCACGCTTAACTTCTTTGTTTGGAGACTGTAATTGATTAAATATCGCAGTTAAGAAAGAATCATCGTGATAAATGGCTGTAAACGATGCAGGATACGAAAGAAATTGAAACTGTTCTGAATTGGCTTGTGATGCTGCTTTAAGACCATCAGAAACTACTTTTAAGGCGGCTATACTGTTTTTTGAATCTTGACTTAAGGAATTTAAGGCTGTAGTAATAAGAATTGGCAATATTGATGAACAAAACATGGTTTTTATCTTTTGTTGTGTAAATAAATCGATATAATGGTACGTATTGTTCATTATTTCAATGAAAGTATCAATTATATTCAAAACTACGTATCTCCCATCATTGCTTGATTCGAGAATCGACATAATTTTGTCCATAAATGAATCAATTGGAGTATTTTTTTCAATTAATTGGCGCATTGTGATAGAAGTAGCAGATGCAGCTTGATTTAGGATACTTATTTGTGTTGAAAAGAAATTCACGTTCTCTTGTATGAATTGGAGAAGGAATAATAGATGTTCGAGTAATTGTTGAGCATCTAGCAAACATCCTCTCCTTTCAATGATAGTAGTCATTGCCAAAAAGGAAAAGTACTCTGCGTGTAGTGAATTTAGCTTCGATTTTGCAATTTGATAAGCAAAAGGAAGAAAATCAATTCGGCTGGCAAGTCTATCAAGCTGTTTCCACTCTTGGACTCTTTCTTCGTTAGTTCCTGATGTTTGTGAGAAATGCTTTTCGACTAACTGAACTAAAGAATCAAAATCAAGTTCAGTCATCCGAATTTTTCTCAAAAAAATTTTTGGCCTCTGAAAGCAAAAATCTTTAAAAATACCACCAAATGCTCCAAATTGATATAGAAAGCTCATTTCATAAACTGAAATCCCGAACTTTAGCTTATTCCTCACAAGTTCATTCAATATCAAGAAATTTACACATATCATTAATATTTATCTCACACCCCAAAAATCAATCAATATCCTTGCATAATTGAATGCAATTGATGATAGATACAAAATATCGTTTTGTCAAGCCAAATATAAGAATAAATGACAACCAAATATCTTGTGATACACAATCTGCATTGAGTGCTTCCATTAGATATGTTAAATTATCATATTTTAATCGATATATTTCACAAATCATTTATTTTTTGATATTTTATATTTAGTCAATATTTGAAATAAAATAATTTCATGTATTAATTATACTATCTCTTAATAAAGAGAAATATTCCTAAAAACAACTTAATCAAGTGCTTTACTAACGATTTCTTGAATAAATTGATTATCTCTTATTCCCTTAATATCATCTAGTCTACAGAATGTGTAGTTATTCTGACATGGCTCGATTCGACACTCAAATTCATCAATAATACTTTGCATTCCATTTTTCTTAAGTAAATCTTCAATCTGGCCAACAAGCTCATCTGCAGATATTCTGTTATCAGGTTCTTCAGCTTTTGTCTGAGAAACAATGTTAAGAAATTCGTTTTTTAAGTCATCATCCTCGAGATACTTAAGAATGTATTTTCCGAATGTAGCTCCTATTGAATAGATATCGGATTTTTTAGTATTTGGTACTTCTTTGATTTCTGGAGCAGAATATTTACTTATTATTCTTGAACTGGCATCAGGATTGTTGGTGGAATATTCTAGATCTCCTAATGAAGCATTCCTATTTATATCAATGAAAATGTTACGAGGAGAGATATCGCGATGAATATAACCATTTTTGTGAAGGTATTGTAAGCCTCGGGCGCATTGATAGAAAAATCGAGCTATGTCTTCTGTTACAATGCAATTGTTCTTTGTAAAATTCTTTAAATCGCCATTAGGAAAGAATTCTTGATAAAACTCGAGTTCATTATCAATGTTCTCAACATAGTATAACTGAATGATTGAAGGAAATCTCAAATTCATTCTGTTAGTTTGATATGGCAAATCACTAATCACAACGCGTTTCTTTGTGTAGAAATTCTCCGTCGCATAATGAAATAACAATTGAATATTTCCCGAACTTAGATCTGTGATGTTGTTGCCATCTGTTACGAACTTATTGGCATCCATTTTAAAAATTTTCCGCCAAAATATTTTAGGGCATTGTTCATCACTTTTTTCAGTAAAAGGCTAATATCTGTATAACAAAGTAGTCCCACAAAAAGTAACACCCTTCTTCTTTTTTCATAGAGTTACTGATCGCTTCCTTTCTGCTCGTCATACTGGAAATGAGAAAAATGATTAGTGCAACCTAATTTATTACTCCAATTGGCAACTTTCCTGTATAGTATACTTAGTTGTATTGTCAGTTATTCTCCAGCATTATGCAATTTAAAATCAACTTCGAAAATGTTATAATAATGATATACACTATGATCATAATCTATTTATAGTATGAAATGAAACAAATTTAATCACATTTGAGAAATCAAAATTTAATTCAATCAATTCATTCTACTTTATAAGAATATATTAAAAGTTATGTAATAAGGCCGTCAGCAAATTCATTCGTTTCTTCGACGGTTTTTTCTTGCCTTCGACACTTTTTTCGGGGGACTGTACTTTGCTTTTTGAAACTGAAAGATGCTTAAATTGAGATCTTCGAAACAATTGTCCTAAATTCCGGAACTCGACAAGAAAAGTTCAGTGTTGTCAATAAGATCTAATAAATATCATATGAAATTAAATTTTGGTACTTGATGAATGAATAAAAATTTATTCAAAAAAAATTAACTTTATTTTTTGCAGAAATGGTTGAGAGAAAATACCCAAATATATCAAGAAATTATTTTCATGCAATTGATAATAAATATTCTCTTACTGCTCCATACGAACAATCAAGTGCTGTTTTTCCACGTTTATTCTTTACATATTTATCAGCTCCAACAGATATAAGATATTTAACAACTTCAAGTTTACCATTTTCTGATGCCGAAATTAGTGGAGTGGATCCATAATTATCCTTTGCTTCTTTATCAGCTCCAACTGAGATAAGATATTTAACAACTGCAAGTTTACCAAATACTGATGCCGAAATTAGTGGAGTGGATCCATAATTATCCTTTGCTTCTTTATCAGCTCCAACTGAGATAAGATATTTAACAACTTCAAGTTTACCAAATACTGATGCCGAAATTAGTGGAGTATATCCAGAATCATCCCTTACTTCTTTGTCACAGCCACAATCAATGAGAGATTTAAGAAGTTTCAGATTTCCTCTTATTGATGCTTCATGAAGTACAGTTCTCAGCAAGCCTTTCTTTTCATAAAGTCTTTCTTCACATGCTTTTTGCATCATTTTTTAGTTCCTTCTTCTGAAATTTCATTAAGGAATTGGTAGTGTTCATCGATAGATTTAGAATTTTTAATGTAGGGAATTAACGAAAGAAATTCTTTTGGGAAATCGTCTTCTTCTTTTCCTTTAGTTGAAGATCGAAGAGTTTGTAATTCTTTCTCAATGTTTTCTTTTTCTTTTTGAACTTGATTTAAATTTGTTTGAAGTTTTTCGATTTTATTTGTTGAATCGGAGATATCCTTTTGTACACGATCTAAAATGCCAATGACGCCATCTAATATCCTCATGTTCATGTATTTGTGAACTGATTTCAGAGTTGAAATGGCATCTTATAAGTTATTGATGGAAATATTTGCTTTTCGAGTGCAGATAAATAATTCACATGCTTTGACATGAGAACGGGATTGATTAAGAAGAGTGTTGAAGTCATCTGAAGTTAATTTCGCATATTTCATGATTGTTTTGATGTCGTTTACCTCGAATGTATCAAAAAGACTATTATTTTCAATATAATCTTTTATATGAGCGCCAGCGTATTCGTAATTCAGCTCAATTCCTCCACTCATTAAAAAATGCCATCAATTAAATTTCATTTTGTAAATTTTTTATCATGGAAAGGTATTAATATGTGGATATGCCAATATGTATCTACACATCCATTTTTGCATGATTTCTATTTACCTCAAATTTTCAATTTCCCTGAGATCAAAAATTTGATTATAACCGAGTCAGATTTTAGCATTTGTTCATCATAGTATTACCATTATAAAGGTTCTTTGATATCTTATACTTCCATATCAGTGCTGGTCTCTATTGTATTTCAAATAGTTCTATAATTTGAAAAAAAAATTCTCCATATTGAGTTGCAAAAGTAAAAAATTGAGGGTATCCTCATTCAATGATATAGAATTTTTAACTTACCCACAGCATTAAATATTATTGCCTCAATCAACAGTTTCTTTATAAAAAGAATTTTCCATAAAGATATCTTTAATATTGGAAAATTAAGAAGTAAATTCAATAAATGATGCTTGAACATTAAAACCAAAATGAATTAAAGGTTATAAAATACAATTGTTTAACCAATAAATAAAAAAATATACAAAATCAAAAATAATTTTTTTTGTTTCACTTATCATTCGCTCTTACACGAGCAACAATCTCATTGATATGATAGTGAGTTTGCATATCCTCGTAGCAGTGGTCAGGAGGTGGCGGAGGTATTGCATCGAACACAGAACACAACAAAGAAGGTAATTCTTTATCATCACCTTCCCCTTCACTGTATGTCGATGAGTAACTGTATGAGTACTCTTCTTCCTCCTCTGGTTCTTCCAATTCCTTGGAAATCATCAATTCTCGCGATTGAGGGTTAGAAGTTGGAGCAGGAATGTTCACAACGATGCTCCTGTACTTAGGAGCCCTATCTGATGGGATTAACTTGACTGTTTCTTGGGGAACTTCGATTGATGAATCTCCAGATCCGATTTTTCTGATTAGAGCTGCAATTTCTTCGTGCTTTCCTTGTGGGAAGAATACAGAAGTATCGTAAATGATTTTGAGGGCAATTCCTCGTTTTTTCAGCTGTTTGAGGAATTTAATCAAATCTTCTGCTTGGATACTTGTATAATCGATGTTGATGCACTGTACAACTCTATTATTCATCAAAGCGGTATCCAGAGCATCAAGAAGTTCACCGTCAAACTGTTGGGAGCTCAAATCAAGAGATTTGATGGATCTGTTGTTGGAAATCGCTCGGTATATCTGCATTGCGACCTCCTTTGGCATGGACTTCGGAGTACCCTTAATAATCAACGTTTCGATGGTTTCATTTATTGAAATAAAATCGCAAACGTCATTTAAGCTCTGATCATCATTAGTATATCCGCTGAATGAGAAAAGCCTCAAATCACGTCTCGATTCAAGGAATTTAAGGAACTGTCCGTTGATAGGATTCGAATCCCAATAAAGACCTTCTAGTTCTGGGCATTCTACGGAAGCGATGCGATCAAAGGCCGATCCCCATGTATCCGATGAGTTGATTATTCGACTCAAGTGTAATGTCATTGGATGTTTTGAATTATTAACGACAGTTAGGATATTTGGAATGAAAGATACGTCCATCTTGATGTCATTCATCACGACCTCCTTGATGGAAGACGGGAACTTCGCTGCTTTTGAGACATTTGTCAAACATAAGTTTCCACTTATGTCCAGCTTCTCAATTTTGCAGTCAACGAGCTTTAGAAGGCTTTTTATCACTGTTATGACTTCAGTTTCACAGTTGGTGAATGAAAGATTTATAATATTTTTGCAAACTTGGGTAGAAGTAAGGATATACATTTCCGGAAAGCCATCAATTACTAAGTTTCTTATCATATTGAAGTTTTCGGATGATTCTACGCTTGTCAGGAAGATTTTTAGTACTCTTCTTGACATTGATTTTGAAAGAGTAAGGGAAGTAAGGGAAATAGCGTCGACAATTTTATCTAGAATATGTATGTATGAATCTCTGATTTCGTTATTGCGAAAAACTAGTTCTGAAAGTGCACAATATTGATTTGACCGAAAAGCTTCGTATAAAGATATTGCAGTTTCATCAAACTTCTCACTAGTTACGATACTCTTGAGGTTTTGGCTATGAGCAAGTAAGGATGAAACAAATTTCCAATTTGTATGTTCTCCTGAGGGAGGAATGATGATTTTTTCAAGAGTTGTATCTACTTCGAGGGCTTGTATTGCAAATCTATCGATGGCTTGGAAATTTTGGAATTCAGTGCAGTCAAATGTATGTGAATCTGTTTTTAAATAATCAGCAAAAACTTTGATATATGAAGGTTTAAGCTCGAACGCCTCGCTGAACATTAAAGCTCTGAATCTTCGTAGTGCACATAATTTTGTTCCGGTAAATCCTTCAGGATCATCTTCATTAATATTTATCACCGGGAGTTCTTCTTTTGTTAGGATACTTCTGGCAAATTTGGCAAGAATTATTGCTAAATTCTTTGCTGAAGGATGCTCAAATGTAATTTGCCCTTTCTCAAATGACAAATCGATAATATCATCTGATGGATGTGTAAATTTAAGCATTTCAAACCAAGAAAACTTCCTTGATAAGGCGGGCTCTTTGGAAAATGGACGCGGTTTGTATAAATTAATTGAACCTTCGCGGCATATTAAAAGTCTCTTGTCTTTTCCGCCTTTTGTATTGATTTTTTCACCCCAAACGCTACAGAATATCACTTCCGTATTGTCTTTGGTAATATCTATCTGGGAGGTATTGCCACCATAGTCATTATTAGTTGACATCCCTCCTGAGGATTTTGATAAAGAATAAAATTCGTGAAATTATTTTTTTTGATAGATTATCAATTTTCTTCAACATAAGCATGGAAACAAAGTAATTTTCAAATAATAATTGAGGAATATGATTATTTACACTATTCGAAATTTGAGTCCATTTCAATTCAATTTTTGAATACTTTTCTGAGAAGAAACGGAATGATAATAAATATGGAAAATATTGGTGCAAAATTCCGGCCTTCCGATATTTTGTCATCATAAAGGATCTCAATTCCTCTTGTCTAGAACATGGAAAAATGATTATTTCGAATTTTTGATGGATAATTGACATTGGATCACATAAAAAGTGCCTCAGCATCTCACCTAATTTACAATTAAATAGAAAACGTATATAATATTGATTTGTACCTAATGCCAATGTTCTTTAATTTCTTTTTGAGTAATCTCAAAAGGTGGATATATGCAAAGAATGCATTGATGAGATCAAACTAAGGGATCATATTTGTTTTCTGTGATTTTAGCTCATTCTACTCTATTCAAATATATCAATATTTTCCATTCTTTCTCTTTGTGAATATTTACTATATCAGGAGGCATATATCAATGATACATAATAATCTTGAATCTTCATTAGGGAAAGAAATAGTAAAAGGACAATATAGTGCTGATATCAATGCAAAAAAAAAGTCATGGAGAAACAACTCTTCATTGTAGTTTAAAAAGTAAAAGAGGGGAATCTACAAATGCTTTCGCATTACAAGAAAATAAATAATATAGAAGGAAAAGAAGAAAATGAAGTTAATTCATGATGTGTGAATATGTTTTTGGCTTTTGCTTAAAAATTTCATATCAAGTAATTATCAAAAAATTTTTATGATAATTCTGCATGGAGAAGTATTCGTTATTCTATGAAAGAAGATGTTCAATTGCTTCTAAGCCATCAGTCATTGTTGCGTAATAAAGAGCTGTTTGTCCATCAATTACTTTTTCATTGATATTTTATACAATTAGAAAGAAACTATAATTTTAATCCACCAATTTATAGAAAGCGATATACTTTTGTACCAAGTAGAGGAAGTTCTACATTTTTATTACTATTATATTATTTGCTGCTCAATGAAGAGTTGTTTTTCATTGATATTTGCATCAGGTGAAATGAAATATTCGCAAAGCGAAGATATACTTAACATCACTTAATAATCTAAAAATGATTCAAGATTATTATGCATTTTGGCCAAAATTCAAAATCAATGAGACAATTGAATATTCAATATTTTCTTTATATATAAAGATAATTCTCTTGATAAGAATTGTCCCTTTAAATTGCAACGTCACAATGCTGCCAAGACAAAGGTTCTTCATAATCCTTTACCATTTATCATCTTAGGAAGGAAATTGTTGCAAAATTTAGATTTTTTTTTCTCTCATTTCAAAATTTGTTCATAGATAAGGTATATGATATTTATACAATAACGATAGTATATTCAAAAATTAATCCAAAAAGTTTTTAGTTTGTAATATCAAATTCGTAAGTTTCTGAAATATTGTATGTGATGTCATACACCTTGAAGTTTCCACGGAGGTTAACCAACTTTCCTGGAAGTTGTTCGCGCCAGAAATTATCTGAATCACTGGAACCTGCATTTGGCACAAAGTCCCATGGGTCAACTCCAAAATAATATGCCGAAGCAGTAACATGTGTTCCGCAATCAGTAGGTTTATACGTTGCAACGTAATTCATTTTGCCGCAAAAATTACCAAGTGTGTCACATTGGAAGCAAATGTGTTGCTTGAATCCAGTCTTAGATTCAATGGTACCTGCCGGATGTGTCGCTATTTTTTGTTTTATTTCATCACGAATTAATTTAGCGGCAGTGGAGTTTGCAAACATCATGTTGTCTCTATATTTAGTGGACTCACGAATTTCTTCGAAAACTCCAGGTCCAGCAGGGACTGTTTTTCCTGTTCCCGATCTTCCGTGAATGATTGCATCAGCAAGATTGTTAATAACAGAAAGCTCCTTTCCATCTTTGAATAACACAGTAAGAATGAGTGAAAGCATACTTGAGCGACATAACGCTGCGGAGAAAAGCAAAAACAACATTCAATATTTCTGATACAAAATTCAAAAGGGTAAATTTTCTTGTGGAAATAGAAAGAGCATATTCTAAAAATAGTATCTATGAAAGTGTATAATCCCATAGTACGATTATTTATCTGAAAAAATATTGTAAAGTTGCATCTGTTTACAATTGTAAAGCGGCATATTTGTCATATGCTTGCAGCCAAATCGCAAAAAAGGTTATAATCTCATGGTAGACCACAGCTAGAGTCACCGCCGACTATCCACTTGCTGGTATGCTACGCAGCCTTTGATATGGCCAATCATACTTCTGTTCCATCCATATAAGCAAGTGATTTCGGCATTGCTTGAGCTCTCTATATGATGGCGATAAAAATTGAATAGGGTACCATGATTGAAAAAAGGAGTTTAGATAAAATCTAATGAATCATTTTAACCAAAATTAGTGTACAGCGAGTTTTTTTAGAATATACGATCTGTTGTTAATATATGTACTATAGAGTTGATATCTTCCATCTCGATATTTGCACCATGTGAAATAAGAAGTTCGAATGTTTCTTTACTATTATTCATTGCTGCAATATGAAGGGCAGTTAGTCCATTATTATCTGTTTCATTGATATTTGCACCATGTGAAATAAAAAGTTCGGCTGTTACTTTACTATTATGTTATGCTGCAATATGAAGGGCAGTTTCTCCATCGTTATCTTTTTCATTGATATTTGCACCATGTGAAATAAGAAGTTCGGCTGTTTCTTTGCTATTAAAATATGATGCATATTGAAGGGCAGTTAGTCCATCGTTATCTTTTTCATTGATATTTGCACCATACGAAATAAGAAGCTCGGCTGTTTCTTTGCTATTATTTTCTGCTGCTCTATGAAGAGCGGTATTTCCATCATTATCTTTTTCATTGATATTTGCACCATGTGAAATAAGAAGTTCGGCTGTTACTTTACTATTAAAATATGATGCAATATGAAGTGCGGTTTCTCCATCGTTATCTTTTTCATTGATATTTGCACCATGTGAAATAAGAAGTTCGGCTGTTTCTTTGCTATTAAAATATGATGCATATTGAAGGGCAGTTAGTCCATCGTTATCTTTTTCATTGATATTTACACCATACGAAATAAGAAGTTCGGCTGTTTCTTTGCTATTTTTTTCTGCTGCTCTATGAAGAGCGGTATTTCCTTTAATATCTTTTTCATTGATATTTGCACCATGTGAAATAAGAAGTTCGGCTGTTACTTTACTATTAAAATATGATGCATATTGAAGGGCAGTTAGTCCATTTATATCTTTTTCATTGATATTTGCACCATACGAAATAAGAAGCTCGGCTGTTTCTTTGCTATTATTTTCTGCTGCTCTATGAAGAGCGGTATTTCCATCATTATTCTTTTCATCGATATTTGCACCATGTGAAATAAGAAGTTCGGCTGTTACTTTACTATTAAAATATGATGCAATATGAAGTGCGGTTTCTCCATCGTTATCTTTTTCATTGATATTTACACCATACGAAATAAGAAGTTCGGTTATTTCTTTATTGTTTTTGAATGTCGCAAAATGAAGAGCGGTATTTCCTTTAATATCTTTTTCATTGATATTTGCACCATGTGAAATAAGAAGTTCGGCTGTTACTTTACTATTAAAATATGATGCATATTGAAGGGCAGTTAGTCCATTATTATCTGTTTCATTGATATTTACACCATGTGAAATAAGAAGTTCGGCTGTTTCTTTGCTATTTTTTTCTGCTGCTCTATGAAGAGCGGTTTGTCCATCATTATTCTTTTCATCGATATTTGCACCATGTGAAATAAGAAGTTCGGTTATTTCTTTATTGTTTTTGAATGCTGCTCTATGAAGGGCAGTTAGTCCATCGTTATCTTTTTCATTGATATTTGCACCATACGAAATAAGAAGTTCGGTTATTTCTTTATTGTTTTTGAATGCTGAAAGATGAAGAGCAGTATTTCCTTTAATATCTTTTTCATTGATATTTGCACCATGTGAAATAAGAAGTTCGGCTGTTACTTTACTATTAAAATATGATGCATATTGAAGGGCAGTTTCTCCATCGTTATCTTTTTCATTGATATTTGCACCATGTGAAATAAGAAGTTCGGCTGTTTCTTTGCTATTTTTTTCTGCTGCTCTATGAAGAGCGGTTTGTCCATCATTATTCTTTTCATCGATATTTGCACCATGCGAAATAAGAAGTTCGGTTATTTCTTTATTGTTTTTGAATGCTGAAAGAGGAAGAGCGGTATTTCCTTTAATATCTTTTTCATTGATATTTGCACCATGTGAAATAAGAAGTTCGGCTGTTTCTTTGCTATTTTTTTCTGCTGCTCTATGAAGAGCGGTTTGTCCATCATTATTCTTTTCATCGATATTTGCACCATGCGAAATAAGAAGTTCGGTTATTTCTTTATTGTTTTTGAATGCTGAAAGATGAAGAGCGGTATTTCCATCATTATCTTTTTCATTGATATTTACACCATGTGAAATAAGAAGTTCGGCTGTTTCTTTACTATTAAAATATGATGCAATATGAAGGGCAGTTAGTCCATTATTATCTGTTTCATTGATATTTACACCATACGAAATAAGAAGTTCGGCTGTTTCTTTGCTATTTTTTTCTGCTGCTCTATGAAGAGCGGTATTTCCTTTAATATCTTTTTCATTGATATTTGCACCATACGAAATAAGAAGCTCGGCTGTTTCTTTGCTATTATTTTCTGCTGCTCTATGAAGAGCGGTATTTCCATCATTATCTTTTTCATTGATATTTGCACCATGTGAAATAAGAAGTTCGGTTATTTCTTTATTGTTTTTGAATGCTGCTCTATGAAGGGCAGTTAGTCCATCGTTATCTTTTTCATTGATATTTGCACCATGTGAAATAAGAAGTTCGGCTGTTACTTTACTATTAAAATATGATGCATATTGAAGGGCAGTTAGTCCATTATTATCTGTTTCATTGATATTTACACCATACGAAATAAGAAGTTCGGCTGTTTCTTTGCTATTTTTTTCTGCTGCTCTATGAAGAGCGGTATTTCCTTTAATATCTTTTTCATTGATATTTGCACCATGTGAAATAAGAAGTTCGGCTGTTTCTTTGCTATTATTTTCTGCTGCTCTATGAAGGGCAGTTAGTCCATCGTTATCTTTTTCATTGATATTTGCACCATGTGAAATAAGAAGTTCGGCTGTTTCTTTACTATTATTCATTGCTGCAATATGAAGGGCAGTTAGTCCATTATTATCTGTTTCATTGATATTTACACCATACGAAATAAGAAGTTCGGCTGTTTCTTTATTGTTTTTGAATGCTGCTCTATGAAGAGCGATATTTCCTTTAATATCTTTTTCATTGATATTTGCACCATGCGAAATAAGAAGTTCGGTTATTTCTTTATTGTTTTTGAATGTCGCAAAATGAAGAGCGGTATTTCCTTTAATATCTTTTTCATTGATATTTGCACCATACGAAATAAGAAGCTCGGTTATTTCTTTATTGTTTTTGAATGTCGCAAAATGAAGAGCGGTATTTCCTTTAATATCTTTTTCATTGATATTTGCACCATACGAAATAAGAAGCTCGGCTGTTTCTTTGCTATTATTTTCTGCTGCAATATGAAGAGGGGTTTTCCAGTCTTTATCTTTTTCATTGATATTTGCACCATGTGAAATAAGAAGTTCGGCTGTTACTTTACTATTAGATCTTGCTGCATAATAAAGGGCAGTTAGTCCATTATTATCTTTTTCATTGATATTTGCACCATGTGAAATAAGAAGTTCGGCTGTTTCTTTACTATTAAAATATGATGCACAATGAAGGGCAGTTTGTCCATTTTGTTTTTTAATATTGATGCCTTTAACTCTTAAAAAAAATATTCTGAAAATGATGGGATATTAAACATCGTTGAATGGATGAAACATTCGTTAAAATCATTAGTTTGATCGAAATACACCAAAAATGATTCAAGATTATCATATTTTCCACACAATAATAAATTGTTCTCTATTTTGTATTCATTCATCAAGAATGTAACAAAATCAATATTGTGAGAAATAATTGCATATTCCATGCATTTATCATATGGTTTTGCATATTCCATGCACTTACAATTTGGTTTTCTATATTTCAAACATTCGCTCATGATCTCTTGATTTCCTCCTAAAAATGATAATTGTAGACATAAATCAGTTATTTTTGGTTCAAATTTTGATCTTAATAACTTGAAACAATCGACTGCTCCATGGTAACAACATAATTCAAGTAATGAATATCCTTTTTTAGAGAATGGATATAAATGGCTTTTAAGTTTTTGATCTTCATCAAATTCTTCTCTTTCTGTGAAATATATGAATTTTCCTAAGTCATTAGTCATAATTGCTCTGTAAATTGAATTTTCTGAATGAATATCTCTATAATTTAGTTCTATTTCTTTGAAATCATCAGTCTTATCTAGTAGAATATCATATTCTTTATAAAACAAGAAGTTCGAAATACTTTTGATGTTGTTAACCTCTTTCACTTCATTATTATCATATATAAGTTTTGCGAGTTTCAAGTATGATTTTGTATAGCGGTTATTATACGGAATCACATTTAAAACACCTTTTATAATAGATTGCACATAATGCCTCTTTGAATCAATTAATTCTGTTTTGATCATTTCGTAAATTGAGTTTATTTCGTCTTCTTTTTCCGTTTTTAACCTATAAATTGCATTATATGAATCGATATAATATTTATAATAACTCCTCAATTTGCTGTATTCATTAGTATTAATGCCTTGAACAGACATTAAAAAAATTTAAATGTCATTTTTATAAAACTTCCAGCAAATTATGAATTATAGAGGATATATAAAAAAATAAAGCAACAAAATGAATTAAGTAGATGGGGAAATATTATATGAATGTGGAAAGTTTTTCTACGATAAATTTTCCACAATTTTTTTCAAATTTTCATATAGCTCTCTCAAATTTTGATAAGTCCAAAATCTTGATAATTTTTTGAGAGCAAAGTTCATCGGTGTATATTAATGGATCATGCCAGATTTTTTTGCATCAAACAGATCATTCTTTATATGAAAAATTACATAGGTATATTGGAATTATAAAATTTCCAACATTAATCTTAACATTAACATTCTCTGAATGATTATAATTAGGGAATTTTCGCCAATATTTGCATTCCAATTATACAAATAATACATGTTATCCGAATAAAATAATATTTTACAAACAAACAAGCTTTTTTCTAAAAATAATAATAACTACAAGACATCATCAACATTTGGTAACTCGTAGCTCTCTGGAGCAGATTTACAAGTTAATTGTTCATTGAAAATTTCCCAATAAGTATCGTAATTTGATCCGAAATGTTCTCCATTGGCAAGTCTGAGATGGTGGTTCACAGCTACTCTATCCTCTTTAACATCAAAGTTATGGCGTTTGTGGTTCACGTGATAAATAGGTGGACTCAAATTAAAAGTGACCGTATGGATTGATACGTTATTATTTAGAAATCCAACAAGCCAATTATCCCAATTATATCGTCCCATAATGAAAGGAGGAATCTTTTGGGGATCAAATGGCAAAACATCTGTTCTGAATGTAAATGTATCAACACCATAAGGACTATGATCAGAATGGTTACATTTCATGACAAAGTCATCAATTTCTTTTAAGAAATATTTAGATCCGTAATGTAATTCATTTAATAGCTCTGGTTTCAAGTCGAAATCAATTCTTTGACCAATCATTACTATTGGCTTATCCTTAAGTACAGCGTAAACTTGCTTAACTCGTGTGAGCCAACCTGATGATAAAACTATGTCACTGTTAATGAAACAAACATACTTGGATTCGACATACTGAATACCTTTAATAAACCATTCATCAATGTAAGGTATGCTTTTATGATCTGCTCGAATAGGACCAGCATAAATCACGCGATTTGGACCATATAACTTATCAAGTAGTGATGGAAACTTGTCAGTAGGGTCAAAATCACTTCTATATATGAATAACAGAACTCGACTTTTATTTGAGACTGATAACCAAGAATGAATTGCCAGTTTATTCCTTTCGAATATATTGCCGTTACTAAATTTCCTTGGAACAGTAATAAATGTTATATCTTCAAAGTTATTATATATCTTTTTCCGAGATCCTATTGGACGTGGACACAATGGATTCGTTTCTCGTGAAGAATAATAGCGCTTACATATTAAGAAATTAACAAGAATAACTATTGCTATACTTATACCATCAAAAATAAGAAATTTTCGAGGCAAATATTTCAATCTCTTCATTTATTTTTTTAAAAAGGGGGAAAGAATTTTTTTGATTGGGTGAATCTATTTTTGTTATTTCTTTATACACTAGAGTGCTGAAAAGCACCTTCTTAACGATATTAGCTTGCTTATCCCCATGTTTTGTTATAATCACATCAAATTCTCATTAAATAGGGAACATTTATAAAATTATTAAATTATTTATGCACAAATTATTATTTGCTTATAAAATATATACGTTTAGTAGTTTAAAGTTGAAACAATTGTTCCACCCCATTCAATAACTGTGAAGCCATCACGTTTGAATCTTGGAAGATCTTGTGGTTCAATTTCTTCAGGAATATCGAGAGGGAGAGCGGCAAAGAATACTCTGTTTATGTTCTGTGGCTTCGGTTCTACAGTCATTGGACACATCTCATCAAAGTTTTCGAACTGGAAGCATATTTTGACGAATTTGTAGGCGACAAGCTTGGGACACCAGTATGTAATGAAGTCACATATCTCAGCATCGTTGAGATTCATCATTTTAAGCTTGTCTTCGAAGAACTCAATGCTTTCTTGACCTTTAATTACGAAACCTCTTTCCATGTTAAGATTTGGATAGAAGAGTGTTTCCCAGAAGAGATATCTCATCTTCTTACCTCTATGTTTGATTTCTCCTGATGGATTGGCTTTAACTTTCCATGTACTTCCTTCATCGAAAGAAGGGTAAACAAATGAGAAAATACCATCATTGATTTTGATGTTAACATTCACATCCATTTCTTCCATAGGATATAAATATATTACTGGCTTTCCGCCACGATTTCGCCAAGCTAAATTAAGAATACTGCCTGGTTGGATATTATAATCTGATAAAGGATGATCATGTTGAATTTGTTTATTACCAGCCCTCAGCTTGTATTGATCCGCGGAAATACCTGTTGCCTTTTGAAATTGTTGGAAAAATTGTGTTGTATCCATATGTTTGATGTCGATACCTGATATTATGCATTCTGATCCAGAACATTTTAGTATCACTTCAAAACCACCACGACCAAATGAAACATAATTGGGAAGTTTTAATGGTCTAGAACTGGATTCGCATCTTCTTTCCTCAGTTTCATTTTGGCTTTCCAATTGTTTACCATTTTTATAAAATGAAAATATTTTAGTTAGAGTTGGAATTCCGAAAACAGAATTGAAAATTTCTTCAACTTCTTCAACTTCTTTTCTAGTCTTGAAATCAGCTATATGAGCACGACTCATCATCTTAAACATATCATCTTTACCATGATAATCTGCAAGATTTTTGAACAAATTAGAAAATTGAGTTGGAGTTAAAGTTGTAGAATTGAGAACTTTGCATATATGTAGAGGTTTTGTAGAAGATAAGAATGTATCATCATCAATATAATGGGATATGTTTTCACTAATAGCCTTCCAATCTACCTCCATTGTTTTAACAACACTGAAAATTTTAGATTTTTTTTCCACTTCAGAAATCAAGAGTCGAAATTTATCAGTTTGAGAACTTTACAAAATTTGCAAACTTTTACTCCACACTCAATGTGATACATGAATAACCTATTATCAGCCATATTAAAAATCGTTTCACTACTTTTAATTTTTCTACGACTTTTTCGGTGCTAAAAATTGAGAGCACTCCAGTTTGACAATATTTCCATTTGTAAACAACATGTATCAATAATAGTATTAAAAAAGCAAGAACGCATATAAAAATTCATACCTTTCTAACTGACTTATTAGTATTTTCTATTGTTATTTCCAAAAGAATTTCATAGATTGTGAGGAAAAAAGATTTATATATGGCACATCTTATTGATCATTTTCATATTAAAGTCTTAGTTAGTGGCAAACATAAAAGATTTAGGAAAATGGTCAATAAATCACAAATATTTGAACATCCATTTGAATTTCTAAAAAAATTATATAAATAGTTTTAAAATTCACGTTTACATATTCAGAAATAAAGAAATAAAAATAATAAGAATAAAAAAAATTATTTCGCTCTATAAATAAAGTTACTACAGTTTGTAAAGTAATGTAAGAACATTGGACATTGAGAATTTGTTAGCAATGTCTTTGCATGCCGCGACATTATCTTCAGACATCTTAACTCCCTTTTCGAGAAGGTAAAGAGCAGTTTTCTCGTCATGCTCTTCGATAGATGCAAGAAGAGGAACCTTTCCAACGTTATTTGGAGCGTTGTAATCGGCACCATTTGAGATTAAAATTTTGACAACGTCAAATCTCTTGTTTTTGCATGCAATGAAGACCGGTGTATTCATTTCGCCATCTCTCATATTGATGTCAACGCCGTTTTCGATCAATTCGTTGAGCATATCCATTAATCCATACATTGAGCAGTAGTGGATAGCAGCGAATCCCTTCTCATCGACCATAGAGACATCACACTTCTTTGAAAGGAAGGTTCTGGCGAGATCCATGAAACTTTTGATAATACACCTCAAAAACGGTGTTTGTAGCTTCTCATTTGCGATGTTCATATCTGCTCCATGACTGAGGAGGTAGTCGACAGCCTTGATTCTGTTGAAATCCGCACATAAATATAATGCAGTTTGTCCCTTAGCGTTTTGGAAGTTTATATCGGAGTTCTTCTCAAGGAGGAAGTCAGCAGTTTCGAAATTACCTGCAATAACTGCTTCCATGAAGGGGGTTTGGCGAATAAGATTTGTCCTTTCGACTGAAGATCCGAAATCAACAAGTAACTTACAGATTGAGGTGAAGCCATATCTGGAGGCTTCGATCAAAGCGTTCGAAAAGCTTTCGTCCGAATAATTGAGATCAGGAGCCGCAAAAACTTTTTCGAAAAACTGCTTGAAGTTAAACGATTCGGTTGCGGATGACCAGTTGTAGGAGTATGGAGGGAAATCTTTTGCGAGCTCGCGATATCCATCTAAGATATGTCGTTCAACAAGCTTGTTCATGGTTTCGGGTGATAGCTCGTACTTCTTAAAATCAAGGGCAGCAAGGATTTCTTGGTTTCCGCCTAAAAAGGCCTTATGATAATCCATTGAATGGATTTTGTGGCCTTTTTTGAGTAAAAACTTGAAAATGTTAGGAGAACCGACTTTGATTGAGAATGCGAGTGCTGCCCATTGGTCAGATTCGGAAAGGCTATCGTAAATTTCTTTGAATTTATCGAGATCGTCTTTGAAAACGACGTATTTCATTCCGCCTGATTTGCAATTGAGAACAATTTCCTCATCCGTAAGATTTTTGTGCTTATCGGGTATTTCTTTGTCAATAAAACCTCTTTTGATTAAAAATGTTTCCATTCCTCTAAGAATATCCACTTGTTTTCGATCCAATTGGACGTTCATAGAGCGTAATAGATTTGTAATAGTGTCGACATAGAATATCGTGAAAATCTTGCGTCTTTTTTGAATTGCCACGATCATCTTCAGGCATTCGGTAAGGGTGTAAACATTTTGGGCTATTGCATCTTTCATTATGTTAACAATTTCTTGAATACTGTTTTTATTGTGTTGGTAAAGGAGTTCTGAAATTAAAATATAATTATTGTAAATGGTGTTATATATGGACATATCTCGAATTCTTCCAACACCTGCACGAATTGCAATGACTAGTTCAATTGATGCTACCCAACTCTCCGCTTCTCTTTCATTTTCAGCGACAAAATGGAAAAATTTATGGGTATCTGATTCAACAGTGAAGCAGGGTTGGACTTTAAAGGTCTTATTCAAGAAGGGATACATGAATTTGTGGATCTGAATTTCGCCTTTAAATTCGCCATCTTTTCGGGTTAAATAGACCAGCTTATCATATGTTAGTTCGAGCCACCTTTCTTTAAAGTTTTTAATAATGTGGCCTTGCTTCTTGACGAGTCCTTCTTTAAATATTCCTTGCATAGAATGCCAAAAAAATATGTAAACTTTTGAAATACTGATTTCAGCGTTGGCATTCAATTCAATCGTAATCCAAATGATATCTTTACTACCATGAGCTCAATATTTTTATATCACGTGTAAAAAAATGCGAACTTTACACGTCAGATCATGTTCGGTGATTGGACAAAATCAATATTGTTGCGATTTACACTGTGTAAATCATTCAATAAGTCAAACCCCCATAAAGTGAAAAAAGATGTAAAAAAAAGATAATTATTACCAACATATGAATACAAATATGGCCATTTTTATCCAAATAAAATTGAGCCTATACAATTTCAATTGTTTATTTTTTACAATTTTCAATCCATCTAAAAAATGGAGTCAATCCTTTGCAACTATGAGCTCCGACACAATCTTATGAATCCAGGATATGGAGAAGTATTTTCAGCAATTCATAAAGGCACTCAAAATGAAGTTGCAATCAAAATGATTTCTAAAACATCAAATTACAAAATGGATATAATCAAAAACGATTTATGGGTGCGCCAGAAATTTGATAATCCATTTATTTCACAACTATTCGAAGTTATTGATTCAAAAGATTATATTTGTTTGGTTTTAGAATACTGTTCAAATGGAAATTTGGTCAAGGCAATAAGTGAAAGGGGAAAATTTAATGAAGAAGATGCAGCGACGGTCTTTACACAACTTCTTCTTGCGGTAAATTATTTACATAATTCGTGTCAAGTCATACACAGGAACATAAGATGCGAAAATATCATGTTCGATAGTCACAGAAACATAAAATTATCCGAGTTCGGATATTGTCAGCATTTAGAAAAAGAAGCAGTTTCAATAACACATTACGGCTCACCAGCTTATATAGCTCCAGAAGTAATACAAGGGAAACCTTATTCATTTGCAAGTGATGTATGGAGTTGCGGCATTGTTCTCTATGCAATGGTCTGTGGCCATCTTCCTTTTTATGATGTTGATTTATCTACGTTTACTCATAAGATATTATATATGGACATTACTTTTCCGATACATCTTTCCATCGGAATTAAAGATTTACTGAAGAAAATGCTTGCAAAGAATCCCGCTCACAGAATCAAAGCTGCAGATATATTTAAACATCCATTCTTATCTGATGCAGTTAATAAAATGCGTATCAAATTGCGAAAGGCAACTGTTGATACCGTTTCGATTTGTAGATCACTTGATGTTTTGGGATATGATTCTGATCAAATTCAATATGAAATAGAAAACGGTGAATCGTCTCCAGGTACAGTTGCCTATTACATACAATATAGAACCATACTGTCTTATGCAATAATGAACGCTAATTTAAAGGCATCAAGTTATTCAACGCTAAAAGTCAACCTTTTGCCAAAACTTCCACTCGCCAATAGCAGAAGAGAATCAGCTGATGTTATAATCAACTCGAATCTTTATAAACAAAAGAAGCCAAAGAGAAATTCAATTCTTATGAATATCTAACTCAGAACGCATTGATATCTCTTGAAATATCCATTATAATATATGGATTTTTGATTTCCAATTTTCTTCGTAAGTGATTCACGACCAATATTGGAAATAAATTTGGATCACATGTCCTGTGTTTTGGAGCTTGCCATTTAGATATTCATTATCACAGAAAGCAACAGCTAGCATACGATCCAGATTTTATGGCTTTACTTGTGTTATCGAACTGTGAGAATAAAATTTATCTATTTTTTTATTGAAAAAACCAAATCGTTTGAACACCGATATAATAATATGCTTTATTATTTGAAAACAAATTAAAAATAAACAAAAATAATTGCGTTATTAATTTGATCTAATGAGAGTTGGACCAATTTTCATCCTAAGTGTCTGGATAAGCGGACAGGAATAGGCAAGGATTTGCGATTTATTCGAGTTGCAGTATCTGCTTTGATCAATCTCGGTAGAACGACAGTTTCACATAATGAACCTCTTCTATTTAATATTTCTTCTGCATTTCTCATATCAACAATTCCTTTTGTCATCATTTGCCTTCTGATCATAGAATATATTGCCGTGTTTGGCGTGATTCTATTGTTTGATAAATCAAGGACGACATCTTCAAATCTAACGCCATACTGGCGAAGCTGTTCTGTAATTTTGATGTTATCATATTCGAATTTATTAATTGTTTCATTAACATACTGAATGGCAGTATGAAGCCATGGATGTCGCATAATCTCATCTAAATTAATACGCTGATTTGGATCCTTCACTAACATCTTCTTAAGAAGATCTAATAAATCACGTGAAAGATTCGTTGGATAATCGATCTCCTTAAAAATGATTCTCTGAGCAAGTCTTGACATGTTTGAGTCCTCAAATGGAAGATGTCCTGTAGTCATTGCAAATAAAACAACTCCTGCACTCCATATATCACTCGAATATATATATTGTTTTCCAAGAATCATTTCTGGCGATGCATAGTCTAAGCTTCCGCATTGTGTATTCATTAAATTATCATCGTTAGGACTATTCGAAAGACCAAAATCAATAACACGAATATTTTGATGGATGTCAAATAGAATATTCTCTGCCTTAAGGTCTCTATGTGCAACATTGCATGATCGTTGAAGATGTTTCATTGCAAGTATAAGTTGAGAAAAGATAACTGCTGATTCATGCTCACTATAAGCCCCAATATCACGAATATGATTCAAAATAGTTCCATTAGGAGAATACTCCATTACTAGAAAGACAAAATCATCGTTTTCATAAACCTCATAGAGTTCTGTAATAAATGGATGACGTGCTTTCTTCATGATCTCAATTTCTCTTTGAATTCTGATTAGCTGCTTGCCATCATCGTTATTGGCTTTTTTGGATATCATTTTAATTGCTACTTCAATCTGGGTTTTCCTGTGAACGGCAAGATAAACTTTACTAAAAGAACCTGCTCCAATTTTGTACTTTACGAGATAGTTATCATTAATCTGCGTATTCATTTCTGATTGCAAAATAATGTTCAGAATTTATGTTTTTGACGAAAATAGAATTGTTTTTGATGAATTATAGTAAGAAAATCAGTTTTAGATCATATTTTATATTTCGAGCTAATTATTTTTTGAATTAATATTAACAGTTGATTATTTTTCTCATTTATAAAAATTATTATATATCACATATATTAAATAAAAATGAAAATTTATGAATTCAATGAATTCAAAAATAAAATCATTGAAAAATTGACTACATAAATAGCAAATAGAGCATAAATTAATTAAAATGAACAAAATTCATCAATTGTAATCGAACATTTTTAGAATTTTGAATATAGATATTCAATTAATCTGAGGCATCATAATTAATAGTAAAAATTAAGAATTTAATTATATAAAGACATTATAATACATAATACAATTCAATAAGAATTTGAATTTTTCAATCATATTTTGCTGATGTAAAAAATCAATTGTTCAACTAATATTATTCAATATTTATTCCAAAAATACACGTTATTTTGGGAAAATTCAAAACAAGAATAAAAAATTGCTAACAGTTTTGATCAATTTAGTAATTTAAAAAAAAAAAAAAAAAAAAAAAAAAAAAAAAAGGTAGTGAGGCTTCCAGGCACTTCGTGCCTTCTAGCCTTGAAGTTGATGAGTATAATGAAGGTCTTATATATACGGGTCTTCCAGGAGCTTTTCACAAATTATATATGTTTTCATGTTTTGTCAAGACTTCTTCGTAAATGTTTTGTCAAGACTTCTTCGTAAATGTTTTGTCAAGACTTCTTCGTAAATGTTTTGTCAAGACTTCTTCGTAAATGTTTTGTCAAGACTTCTTCGTAAATGTTTTGTCAAGACTTCTTCGTAAATGTTTTGTCAAACATGAACGTAAATGTTTTGTCAAGACTTCTTCGTAAAATCAGACAAAAATAATGTTTAGGGTAGAAGGTTAGATCTAACCTCTTTTCTAACCTCTTTTCTACCCTCTTGAATTTGTCAAGACTTCTTCGTAAATGTTTTGTCAAACATGAACGTAAATGTTTTGTCAAGACTTCTTCGTAAAATCAGACAAAAATAATGTTTAGGGTAGAAGGTTAGATCTAACCTCTTTTCTAACCTCTTTTCTACCCTCTTGAATTTGTCAAGATTTCTTCGTAAATGTTTTGTCAAGACTTCTTCGTAAATGTTTTGTCAAGACTTCTTCGTAATAAGTGTAAATGACCCAAAAATAAAGTTTAGGGTAGAAGGTGAGATCTCACCTGTTTTCTCACCTGTTTTCTCACCTCTTGAATTTTCATGATTTCATCGTAAATGTTTTGTCAAGACTTCTTCGTAAAATGTTTTGTCAAGACTTCTTCGTAAATGTTTTGTCACTTTTCTGTCACTTTTCAGGTAAAAAACATTTTTATATATATATAAATGAATTTTACAAAACCACCGTTACCGTTCTTTGGAAATAAGAGTAAATGTAAAGATATTATATTGAGAGAACTTAAGAAACTACCGAATAGTCTAACATTTGTAGATTTGTTCGGTGGAAGTTTCTATATATCCCATTTGTGCCATATAATATTCCCAGACTCAAAGATTATATGCAATGACTTCGACAACTATATGGACCGTCTCAAACATATTCCAGACACAAACAATATATTGAAAGAGTTAAAAGAAAAGATACCTATAGGTAAGATGGAACGTATACCATTAGATAAGAAAAATATTGTGAGAGAGGTTTTGAAAAAAGCAGAATATATAGACTGGGATAGTATATCTGCTAGACTATTATATAGTGGTTCTATAAGAGTTCATGACATTGAAACACTTATGTCAAAAGTTTTATATCTTAACTATACAAATGTTTTCAAAGAGGACATAGAAAGTTAGTACACCAGTCTTGGGTATGGTGGCACTGCGTTCCACCTTACCCAATACTTGTGAATTTGACACTTTACAAAACCGTTAACGTACATTTTACAACATGAACGCAAAAACTAACTTAACCTTAAATATTTACAAAGCCGCCAACCATTTCACCTCACTAACGAACTCACTAATGAAAAAATAAACGTTCTCATAAATTTTCTTCTATATCTTCATCGTCAATGTTAACTCTATTGTAGTCATACTTGAAGTCATAAAGTTTCTCAAGTTTTGAAATGCATAGTCTTGTTAACTTACCTTCATCATCATAAGTTTTTATAAAACTACCATGACAATCTTTATACACAGTCAATGAAAAGTCAACTGGTCTAGGATGAAGTGTAAAGAACATGTTATGCTCAGGAAGGAAGAATAAATGTTTAAATGTATGTTTGTTATATTTTTCGATTTGTATGAGTTGCTTTTGTTCTGTCATTTACATCCAAATAAAAATTTTCAGTAAAATAAAAAATTAATGATATCACCACCTCACACGTATGAAAACATAGCACAAAAATAAATTTAGGTGAAGTGGTGAGATTTCACCTCTTTTTTCACCTGTTTTTTCACCCACTTGAATTCATTGCTTTATAACTCTCTTCCTTTCTCCAACTCTTCTAACTTCTTCTTAAGTTCAGCAATGTTGTCCTCATGAAGTTTAATCTTCCTTAATATACCTTCTCTATCTAATGGTTGCTTTATCTTTCTAAACTGAACTCTACCATCCTTCATAGTATGAACGTAAAAACCTTCTGGAACCGCTCCTGATTTAATGTATTCTACCAAAAACTTTTGTTTCATTGCTTCAGTGACTTTAGTCGTCATTTCAATCAAATAAAAATTTTAATATTAAATAAAAATAACGTTTTTTTTCAGTAAGGAAACGCAGGAGTTTTACGATTTATTTGAGGAGTAGGTTCTGATTTAAATGTTGGAGTCGGTTTAGGAGTTGACTTTTGAACAGGAGTTTGTACTTTCATAGGTTCAGGAGTCATTGAAGGTGTTGTTTGTGATGGTGTCGGAGTTTGTTTAACTTCAGCTACTTCAGTATTATTTACAACATTTGCTTTATTTCTTTTCAACATCATAACTGCTCCTGCTGTAGCTAGCAAACCTAGTGGGAGACCATATTTTATATAAGGACTTGACCAAATGCTATTTTTGACAGGAGCTGGTGGAACACCTAACCTTGGTGAGACTGCTCTTTGCCATTGTGCAGCAGCTCGTAAGAAATATTCAATAGGTGCTCCATAATCGTTTGGTAAAGTTTGTTTCATAGATGGTGAAGGTTCACGAGAGCTTGATGAAGAACTCATTTATAAGCTTTAAAAATAAACGTTCATCCTTTATTCCTCACTGTCGTCCGTAGCTAAGTTATAGTCATCTAATCTTATTATTGGGATTCCATTAGCACGCACCTGAATGGCAAAGCAACAATCCCTCATAAATCCAATAAGTGGCTTTGGTACATTTTCAGTTGCTAGTTCAATAGGTCCTTTAACAGACAATTTGTATGTTATTGGAGCAGTAGATGTTTGACCTTGCTGGAAGCAAAAGTCCACTTCTGTTGGAAAACCACATAAGAAATGTGTGTTGTCATAGCTATCCCATTTATGTTCCACACTACCATCATCCACCAATGACCTCTTAACATCTTCATTAAATCCTATCATATCATTGTTTGTATTGCAAGCGTTCGCAACCATTTCATAAAATACAGGTCCATATGATTTTTCAGGTTCTGCAGGCATATTTCCATAAGCTCCCATGGAAAGCTGAAGATATTTAAACTTAGGGTTCTCAAAATTAACATAATAGTTGTCTTTCTTTCTAAATAGTGCCCAAATACTTTTAACATTAATAGGCGTATAAGCTGCTGTAAATGTTGCACTTGAACTATCTGTATTCTTTGAGAATGAACCGTCCATAGGAATCCAATCCATAACTTTAACAGGAAAACATAAAGCCTCGTTTGTATAATGTTCTACAAGTTCTGTATAAATGTTAGGGTCTAAAGAGAATGACTTTGGATGAATGAAACATTCATTAAAATCCATCTTTGTTCGAAATAGTTGCTGGGTTACAGTTGTAATAGTAACTGTTCCACTAGCTTCTACTGCCTTCGTTATCATAGTGAATGGTTCATTCCATGGAACAAATTTATTTGTCGGTGGATTTGAATCTGAAGCAAATGCAACTTTAAGAGTTGGATTGAAAGCAATGATATCATTTACAGATATAGATGTGCATTGTAAGGCGTCGCTACTGAACTTTACTTTAAGCTGAATGTTTCCTGCAAAAGCTGGAATAAATCGAATAGCTTCTAATGGAAGGAATCTTCTAACAGGAATTCTTAAACGAAGCTTAAAATCAAATGATTTTCCTGCTGTAATTGGACCACTAACAATTTGTCCTGTTCTGCATGTTCCCGAATGACTCCATACATCTTCATGTCGAGTCTTTGAGAAAACATCTACTTTCTTTATTTGTTCGGTAGTTTGTGAGTTTGAAGTTATATATGCTTCTTCTCTTGCGTTGTCTTGAGAATATACGATACGACCATTTGCAAGGATTTGATATCCAGCAACTGCATAGAAAGCGTCATCGAAACCAATCCAAAATCCTGGTGGGTTTGTTTTATTGGAACCTGAACCAATTTCTTTATCTACAATAAATTGACCTTCCATTTTATACGTAATGAATGTATTGTAAAGGTCCAACATATTTTCACCCAGGAGGTGAGAGATTGAATGTTACCCATGTGTTATCTTTAGCAGTTCCAGGTTGTGATGGAATCTTTGCGTCAGAATATTTTCTATTAGTGTCACCAATTTGAACTGCATTGTCTATGATATCGAAATATGAGCGAATCTGATGAATATGCTCTGCTGGAGTAAATTCGTTTAGCTGTTCGTTCTGCATGTATTTACTTCAGATAAAAATATCTATTTACTTCATTATTCTCACTCTTCTTCTTGGCATTCGTGGTGGAAGTTGTTTCTTGACATTTTCAATGAACTGTACATTCTCTTTTGTCTCAACTTCTTTCACTGGCGGGTCAGGGTTCTTTGACTCGGTTTGTTTTTCAATGAAATTCACGAACTTTGCAATAAGCTCTTGGTTCGTTATTGAAAGTACATCTGGCTTCTTTTCTTCTGGTTCTATTGACTTTTCAGTTTGAACAGAAGGTTTTATATGGGCTTCGTGGGCTTCGCCCTTGCCATGCACCTTAATGTTGTCGCTCTCTGCATTCGCTAATGGTACCTTTCTTTTTCTTACGTATATTTTACCATCTTTACTCTGACTTACGTAATAGAAAGGATGTTGTATTCCTCTTGCGTCATTTAATATAATAGACTCTCGCTCTGATTTTGACAAGCTCATTTTACATCGGTTAAAGTTTTAATTTTGTTTTTTATCTGCAATCAAATGACTCAGACAAGCCCTACGGACAAGACCCAAGGTGTCATAGATGTTGAAGCATTGAAGAAAGAAATTCGTGAGCAAATTTTATCCGAACTGAAGGAACAAAAACAAGAACAAAAGCCAGAGAGACCAAAGAGAAAACTTAGTGAAAAACAACTTGCTGCATTAGCTGCTGGAAGACAAAAGAACCCACGTTTGCTGGCAAAGAAAGCTAGAGAAGAAGCTGAAGCAAAAGCTAAAGAAGCTGAAGCAAAAGCTAAAGAAGCTGAAGCAAAAGCTAAAGAAGCTGAAGCAAAGAAAGAGTAAATGGTTTATTTTTATCCGAATTAAATGTATAGACAAATACCTTTATCTGTTGCGTTCAGTAGTGAAAACCCTGACGTCAAAATAAAGGGGAACAGAGTAACGTTTAAGTTTCCAACAGACTGGATTGTGAACATAAATGAAGAGAAGTACATTGGCATAACATCTATGTATATAACACGTGCTTTCAGAAAGGTTGACTTTATACTTCAAGTCGAGATAGAAAATGACGAACAGTCTTTAAGCGCCCAAAACATTCACATATACAAATACTTTAAAGACGATACAACATTGTTGCAATGTATGATTTCATTTAATGAGATGTTCGAGAAAAAGTTCAACATTGAAGTACAAACTTTACAGCCTTTACGTGAGTTTCTTGCACAACTGAAAGAAGAAGGTAGTCAGCCACAACTTATAGACTTTCATTATGAATTTAATGAAAATGAAGATGGAACACATGACTGTCAGTTTGTTATATATTCACCATTCAATGAAGTCGCTAAAAAGAAAGAAAATCCATTACGTATAAGATTTCAAATCTCCGAACCAAGTGATGATTTTAAGAATGTTTTCAATTATGATGCAATGCTTCCGAGGAAAAATGAATTTTCAAAGATTGTAACACCTGGCATTTGGGATAGAAAGCAAGCAATACTTTACTCTAATATAGCCAAAGGCGTTGAAAATGAGTTCATTGGTCATACAAGAACTTCACCACTTCCTAACCCTAAATACTATAAATTAACTGGCTTCAATCGTGAGTTTTGGATAGACATGTTCTCCACTCATGACCATAAATGTCCAGTGTTCTTGCCTCCAGACCATAAGGACTGTCTCTACATTGAAGCACAACTCTTAAACTCTACCATCGCAGTATTGTAAAATCTACGCTAGCTTTATTTTTATCACGAATGACCTCATTCATGACCTCATTCATGACCTCATTGCTGACAAAAATAAATGACCTCAGAACTTCAACTTACGAATAAAGCTTGTTTTAGTCGTTATTGAAAAGTTGAACTTTTCAGCAAAGCAAGGTTGACATGACTTACATAAGTCGAATGCAATCTCTTGACCATCATGAAGTGCTTTGTAAAGTTTCATTAAACTGAACTCAGAGTCTTTGTCATATGTTCCAACAGGTATGTGAATGTTCTTATCTTCATTGTAATAGCATTGTATAGCTTCAGGAAACATTTCATTAGCGGTTAAAGCAATAACATCTTGCTTCACGCCTTTCATTCTGCAGTGAAATGCAACTTCATTTAAATCGTTAGTGAGTAAGTCTATGTAGGTCTTCTTTCCACAGAAAATACTTTTATAAGCTAAACTTTGTTTTCCAGGTGTTATTTCTGCAAAGTCGCTATGAAATTGACCAAGGTTCTTTCCTATAAGTTCGCGACCATATCTCTTCTTAAACTCTGCTGCAAGCTTTGGTATGTCTTCATTATATAAGTGCATACTGTCGGTATCCTGGTAAAATATTTGAAGTCCCATATCTTCAGCAGTACAGAATACTTCATTCATAATACGTTTTGACATAGACAGAATATTAACACCAAGTGGACAGAAGTTAAAGTGTCTGCAAATGCTTTTCGTTAGCTTGAAAATAGTTTTATCTGAACCATCCAAACCTTCGAACTTCACTATATGGTTGTAATTTCTTATAGCATATCTTATAGCATCTTTGTCATTTACTATGGTTATTTTTGACTCAATAGGAGATAGAATAGTTTTGCCATAAATGCTGTTCAGAATGAGTTTTATAATTTCTTGTAAGGGGTTTCCTTCTTTCTTATACTTTAACCTTAACTCAAACAACTTCTTTACTTCATCTCTTATTCTCATATCTCTGTTTCCATCGTAATAGTATCCTTGCAACACTTCACATTTGACACCTTGATATTTTATGAGGTCTTGTAATGTTATATGGTCAACATACATGAACAGCAAGTGTTTGAACTTCTTGGAACGTTAAGTTCTGGATTTAGTTCAGGGTCGCAAACTATTAAATGAAAGTGTCTGGGTATACCAATCTCTGTTATCTTAATGAGAACAAAGAAGCCAGACATAAACTTTTCACCAATGGGTTCCTTTTGGTCATCATCGAATAAATGTCTCATGAGATACTCTGTGCTTAGCATCTCATCCTTCAATACTTTTGGAATTCCTTCTAAAGTATACAATCTTGCTATAGCTGAAGGATATAATGAAACAGTGTCGAAGTCAGCAATGAGTTTCTTTTTGCTCTTTTGTTTCATGTTATCTGACAACATACATCTTCCACCTTGAATGCATCTCGAAATAAATTCTCTTGGTTTATTTGAGAGGTCATAAAGATTTCCATTCGGGAAGTATACTCTGTTCTCAAACAATTTGTTAGCAATTGAACAAATACTAACGTAGTCATAAACGTTTAAATCAAACTCTTTCAATAAGTCATTGCGGAACTTTACAAAACCTTCTCTTAAAATTCTTACATCTTGTTTGCAGTAAAACGTGCTATATTTTTCTAAGTCGAAGTGGTTCTCATCTATTCTGCAACCTTTGATGGAATCTATGTTCTTCATAAATGTATCTGCATCATGGATAAACTTACATGCTTCAGAAATGACACCAGTTCTGTTGTCATTTGCTAACAAAACACTGCTGTAGTAGTTATTATGGAAATACTTCTTTCGGTCCTGTTTGTAAGTTAAACATAGCAGGAAATAGTTTAAGCTTCTTATTTATAACACTGTAAGAGTCTTTTATAATAATTGCCCTTCCTTTATATAAACCAGTTATTTGCATTGTTCGTGAACCTTTAATGATGGGAGTTCCTTTCACTTCTGTCATGTGTCTTAAGATGAAGTTTATGTCATAACTGAGGTTGTGAAAATATATTAAACTCTTGTCAGGGAGTCTTTCCAAAAATTCTGTTGCACAGTTTTGACCCCAAATGCTTTCACTAACTGAACCATCTTCACTGTCATAACAGATGTTAAAAGCTTTATGAAAGCCATCCGTACTACACTCAAAGTCAGCAAAGAAAACGTGCTCAGGTATGAATTTACATTTAGCTTTATTTACTTCTTTTGACTCTGCTTTCTTCTTCAGTTGTACACAATACTTTGGAGCATATGTCAAATCTTTAAATGGTGCAAGGTTCTGTTTATATAAGTCAGTAGTATATGTGAAAAGTTCTCCATAAGAAATAGGTTCGAAATATTTGCACTCCCACAATGTTTTCATAACATCCCATAACGGTGTTGTTCTATCATAACGAACTACATATTTATCTTCTCTCTTTGTATAAATCTTCATCTGTTTCTCAATGTTCATTCCACCACAAGCTTTGAGAATTTCTTTATAGTTTCGAATGAAATATGTTGTCATTGGTAATCTTTCATTTAGCATGTAGTGTTCTTCAACAAGAAGTAAGTCAATAGTTCTAAACAGTTTCGCATTCTTTTGGTATATATCTCTTTATTTCATTAATGTCTTGACTCATTGAAATAACCAATGGTAACATTAAATGCTATACCTGTTGCGTCAGAAATTTCTTGTACTTTACTTTGAGGAAAGTCTCTAACACGAATGACTTCTCTCATGTGGTCAATAGTTTCTTCATTTACTCCAGCCTGAATGCAAGCATAAACGAAACAATTGTCCTCTGTCATAAGTGTTGCAGTTCTTTTGTTCAGTTCATTGAAGATTTGGTAGCGTTCAAGATTTATAGGTAATGTGCAAAGATACTTCCAGAACTGACCGCTTCTCTTCTTATAAAACTTCTTTTCACCATTATCTTTCCAAAAGCTTTCTATAAGTGCTGGGTTTCCTGTTTGCTTAAGAGCTTCCAAAATGGCTTTCTGGTCATTTGTCAGTGTGCTTTCATCTCTATATGGTCTCTTTTTTGGTTTGCCTTTCTTTACATCTGACATCGTTAAGCCTTCATATTCTGTTAAATCATACATCTTTATTTCGGTAAGATTCTTTATGTTTGTCAAGAAGAAGTCATAGTGCATTTCAACAATACCTGCGGCATTTGCTTCTATCTCTGATATAAAGTTCTCCTTCAAGAGCTGATGTAGTAATGTTCCAATATTATTGAGGTTTAACGTAGAACATTCATACTTTCCACCAAGTTTATAACATACCATCCATCTCTGTTGGGAGTTTATTTTAATTTTCTCTAAGAGTCTCATGAAAACCTTACCAAAATGTTTGTGTAAATATTCTCTGTTTGGTTCATCTAAAGCTTCGATGTTAAAGTCAATGAGTCTATTGCCTGACTTCACATTTCTCTTCCTATTCTCTTCATCTTTCTTTAACCATCTCTCACCTTCTTTTGGTTTGTCGTCAATGGAACGAATGACATCGTTAGCTTTGCGAACTTGTTCTATAGCACTTTTAAACATCTCTCTTCTCTGTTGTTTCAGTGTGTCATCTCTCTTTCGTGTTTCACCAACGTTCGCATTTGTTATGTCAAACATTTCTCTTCTTACTTCATGAGGTACTGAACGTCTATGATATAAGTCAATAGCAATGTCATTTAAAGGAAATGCTCTTGCATGGACTTCGTCCTCGCCGCGTTGCGGCTTTATGAACTCATGAATTCTATCATAACTTATTGCACCATTGTAGTCTTTAATGAAGTCAGCGAGTGCCTTTTTGTTTGTTGTGTAATGCTTTGCAACATCTATATTAGCTTCTGTAAGAAGTTGTTTTATTTCCGAGTGTTCTAACTTAGACAACTTCCGATACATCTTTAGTAGGAAATAAAAAAAATATTTTTGAAAAAATTAGATTAGATTTTTTTTAAGTTATTTTTCAAAATAATTTAATATTTTTATTTTAATGAAACACATGCAAGATTGCAAGTTCTTTTCATACAATGCTCTCGCTACTGCCATCAAGAATGAGTTCAATAATGCTTCAAATGTTAATGTTATCTTTAACAAGAAGTTTGTGAAAGAATCTAAGTTTGGTCAGTATGTCAGACCATTAGCTATCGTCATTGACCGCAAACGTTATACTTCACAAGAGTTAGCAGTAGTTTTGAAACAAAAGAGTTTCTTCGTGAATGTCAAAGATACTCATTATACTGTCATAAAGAACTCTAACATTGACTTCTTCAGTATTGCTATGAATCTTTCCGAACAGAAAGAATATAAGAAGGGTGAAACAAATGTGAAATATTATCCTTCATCTCTGAAGACAATAACGAACAAAGATGTTATACAGAAATTCTTACCAAAGGTTGAAGAAGCTTCTATTGACATTGACGAAGGAAGTGAAATGGTTGAAGAAATTGACCCTGAAGCTATTTAACCAAAAATATATTTTTGGTGAAGAGGTGAGATTTCACCTGTTTTTTCACCTCATTCTCTCTTCGTTAATGTTGTCGTGACTTCTTCGTTAATGTTGTCGTGACTTCATTCTTCCTCTTTGAAGTTATCGAAATATTCTGTTATTTTTTCCTTCAGTAATGTTAAGTCTTCTTTGAATGTAAGTATTGTGCAACCTTTGATGTCATAGTGTGTTTGAGGAAGAGTATTTTTGACAATTTCCTTTATTTGCTCATTCGGTGTCATTGAAATCGGTAAGTTTTCACGATAGAACCAGTTTCTGTCAGATTTATATATTTTAGCAAGGTCGTAAAAGCTTTTGTTGTTTCTTCTGACTAAATGCAACATAACCATATCTTTATCTTCTTCATTCTCCAACTCTTCAGTATAAATCATATACTTATAGTTCTTTTCCTTTCCTTTTGGTACCGAACGTGGTATTCTTTTCTGTATGCTTTTGTCTTTGGATTCAATGACTTCATCTTTTGCTTGAAGTTTCTTTTCCATCTCTCCACGTTCTGCTTTATATAGTTCATCTAACATCATGAAAATATAACAAGCATAACGAGGTGAAGCCCACATTGCTACAGCATTTACTAAAAGTCTATGAACATAATAACCTTTCAAACCAGGTGCCAAATTCTTGCGATTTTCGTACGGAATCTCTTCCCTCGGTTTTCCGAGGGAAGCAATCATATGAGGAAATTCTTCTAAAAGTTCTTTTGCCTGTTGGTTTTCAAACCAATGATATGCTTGCTTTGTAGAACGAAGAGCATTCATTATACTTTGCATTTGGTACATGTCGTCTTTGACAGAACGAATGAGTCTCAATTGTTTGTTATATTGTATGTATTCGTATTCTTCATTTATGGCTTCATGAACGATAGCAGTTGTTGTGTTCTCTGTTGTTGACATTACTGTTCTTACATACAGGATAAAAAAATAAATAAAATAAAAACTAACTTTATTTTTTTGAGATAAACACTATTTCTTCACAACATTAAATTTTATCCTGTATGAAATGACTTTAAAAAGATTATTGACTGACTTCGAATACTATCTCATTGACGCACTGACAGACCCTCAAAACTGTGTTGAAAGTTCTTTAAGCTTTAAGATTGAAGGTACGACGCATTTTGTCTTCACTTACGTATTGAAAGAATATGACCGTTATCATAACGAAGTGAATCAAACACTAATAAAATTTGTAGATAAAAAATTGGTTAACAATGAATATTTTAAACGTGAAGACCCAAACACTGCTGGAGATGATGAAGAATACAGACAAGTTATTGAAAAAAATAACGCAAGATTAGATGCAATAGAAAAGAAGTTTAATGAATGTCTTACAAACACGTATGAATATCTTATGCAGTGGGAAGCCAGATGGAAATAAATTTACGTCAAATATGCAATTTATAAAATCTTATGTCGACAGGCTACGTAGCACAGTGGTCTAAGGTGGTGTTATGGAGGGGTCAGGGTCTGTGGTTCGAACCGCGACAGCGCCGTATTTTCTTATTTTCTTTATTTGTCTTGTTTGTCGTGAATAAAAAGTGTCATAAAAGTGCTCTATCTTCCACGGGAATAAATAAAAAATTTACTTTATTTCTTCTTTATTTCTTTGTTCCCGTGGAAGAAGGGTTTTTGCCGTTTTTTCTCAGCCGAAATCAACGATTTTTTCATTTTTGGAATCCTTAGCAAATGAGGAATCTTTTCTCTCGTGGAAGCTTTGAACAAAAATATAATTTAGGTGAAGAGGTGAGATGTCACCCGTTTTTTCACCTAATTTTTCACACTCAGCCGCTAAGCGGCGAGACCCAAAGGGTCTTGACTTTGTCATAACTTCTTCGTAAATGCTTTGTCATAACTTCTTCGTAAATGCTTTGTCATGACTTCTTCGTAAATGCTTTGTCATAACTTCTTCGTAAATGCTTTGTCATAACTTCATCGTAAATGCTTTGTCATAACTTCTTCGTAAATGAGTGTAAATGACCAAAAATATAATTTAGGTGAAGAGGTGAGATTTCACCTCTTTTTTCACCTAATTTTTCACCTCTTTTTTTCACAAGCGTTTTACATGAATTGTACGATGTATATTTGAAATCCTAAACAATTTCGTAGCTTCTATTTCTTCTGTCAGTATGTCAAAAGTTTTAACAATACCGAAGGTTTCTTTATACTTCTTCTTGACGTCAGATAGAAGGAAATCTTCTGCTGTTGGATAGTTTTTGTTCAGAAATTCTAACATGTTCATTTTATCTTCTGCTGGCTTTTCTGCTTCTTTCTTTAAGTCTGCATAGTCGTTTCTCATTCTTTCTATCTCTTTGACTGAGTAGTTATATTTCCTAATTGCTGCTTTACATTTTGAACATTGCGGGTTCATTTTTGCATTATACATTGAAATAAAACCAGCTAAAACAACTAAGGCGTCAATTGCTCTCTTCATCTCAAACATAGCGGGTCTTATTTGTTCGTTCCATACTTTGCCTCTTCTATCTTTATCTCTTATTTCCCAAACACATTTTGCAACTAATGAAACAAAGTTATCGTAAGTCTTAAATTCTTCAGATTTATATATGTCAGAAACATTCTTATATACCATGTCGCAATCTTTGTCCATAACCTTATGGTTGCAATGAAAACCAAGGAATTCATAATTTACTTTACGTATGAACTTCTTTATTTCTACTGAGTCAGTTGGTTTCACTTCAATTTCGTCGAATTCAGGAATAGTTAGTTTTTGATGCTGAATTTCAGGTAGTTTAGGTAAATGGTCAATAATGTCCTGCATTTCATAAAGATATTCTTCATTTTCTTCATCTTTCGCACTACAGTCTAAATTACTTGTTAAAAGTTCTTGCTTTATCTTCTGGATTTTTGTTTCGAAAGTATATGAAGAAGGAATGAAGTTTTTCATCTCTACTAACATTGACGTAGGATTCATGACTAACGAGTTTGGTGCTGTTGTTGTGGACAGAGTCCCGCCGTTCGCGGCTTGAATTGTTGTTGTGCCGATTGTTGAAATCATATCTTTTATACAAAATAAAAAAATAAATAAAATAAAATTAGCGTTATTTTTTATTTCGGGAAAATTCATGAAAATTCAAGAGGTGAAAAAGAGGTGAAAAAACAGGTGAAATCTCACCTCTTCACCTAAACATTATTTTTGGTCTTTTGTGAAAATTCATGAAAATTCAAGAGGTGAAAAAGAGGTGAAAAAACAGGTGAAATCTCACCTCTTCACCTAAACATTATTTTTGTCTGATTTACATCTAATGAAAAAGTTTAGAAGAATTTTCTTATTCTTTCTGGCATGTTTTTATCTTTCCAGTACTCCCGCTCTAATGGTCCCAGATGTGTTGGCTTTGACTCTCTCAAGTTCTTAGATGGTATAACATCTTCAACGCCTCCTTCATATCTTACTTTATAAGTGTCATCGTTTGTGTTATAGCCAAGTATTTCAATAACCACTCCTCGCTTTGCTTCGTCAATGGTTTCAGCAAGTTTGCCATTACTACTTTCGACTAATTTATGACGAGGGTAAAATGCTATGGAGTCGTCAGCAGCTTTTATAAGATATCCATTACCTTGCGTAGAGTCTACGATATAATAATTTCGACTTAACCTTAAACGTTTCTTTGTCAATGGTTTGTCGTCAAGAACTACACGAACTTTTGTACCAGGAATGAGGGTAAATTGTGTTGAATTTCTGATATTTTGTGTTTGGCTTCGTTTCTTTTGTATATACTTTTCTTCTTGTTGTTGTGTCATTGAATTTGGTGTATGTCCTGTTGTAGAATGTGTTGAGGAATTGTAAACTTCGATGAAATGTTTCATTGTTTCTTCGGTAAAGTCTCGCTCTTGATTTAAATCTCTGAGCGTTCTTATGAAGCGGTTAATGATACCGAGTATGTTATGGTTATGGTCTTCAGTAGTGTAGTGAGTTATGTTATGCTTAATGAGAAATTCTGTGATTTCATTGCTGAGGTATGCACTGTCTTGGTCTGATGTTAAAGTACTTGGGCTATGTTCTGCTACAAACTTTTGTAAAACTCTTAACACTTCACGAGTTCCTTTATTTTTCATTGGATATGCATATGCTTTACGAGTGTTAACATTTATGAAGATGAGGAATGGTTTATGTCCTCCTTTTCTGCTTTGAATGAGAGTGTCAAATTGGTATGCGTCAGGAGTGTTGGAGTAAATTGGTAAAAAGTAGTCGTAAGGGTTTATTTTTGTTTGATGTACAACATTTTTGTCAAAGAACCTTTTCACTTCAGCTCTGTTAGTAAATCCCGAACTCTTTGCAGCTTCATTGAACTTCTTAAATGACCTCCATGGATGTTGTTCGAATACTTCTTTCAAGCTCATTTATGTAAAGTTAAAGATTTTAACCAACTCGTATCCAAGCGTGCATTGTTATATAAGGAGGCATATAATCTTTTCCATTACCTGCTGGGTCTGTAATACCAGCTACAACATGTGTATGATTTCCTGCAGTTCCACAGAAAATACCTGTGCTTGAATCTACTGGGTCAGTTGAAATATCATATCTATGCATTCCCTGTCTATCCGAACCCGCTGCAAGATTTGTATAACCTCTTTTTGTTATTGAATGTGAATGGTTTCCTTCCACAGATGTTCTTCCACTGAACCTATGCATATGTGAAGGAAGGTTTTCAATACCTATTTTCTTTGAACCTCCCATCTTCATTGACTGCGTATTAGTGTAGAATGGAAAACTGTCAACTATTTCATACCATCTACCACCAAATAAAGTGTTTGGATTTATTGGATTCATAGACGTATAAACAGCTCCTATAGGATATATTAAATCATATATGCTCATAACTCTATAAACATATTCTAAAGAACTTATGTCATTAAATACCATTTGGAATGTATCTCCCGGATGAAATGTTGCATTTGTTCCACTTTTATAATGTAATGTTAGTTCAATAGAATTATCCAAGAAAAATTCAAAAGTATCTGGTTGAAGACCTCTAACAAATTCAAATGGAGTTGCTGGTTCACCATTTATAATTTCTGTTGTAAATGTCATTGTATCTGGTTTCGAAAATTTCTTTGTTAGTTCTGCATCCACATAAGTTTTGTCAGCTTTCTTATCTAACATTGCTGGTAGTTCATATGCTTCAAAGTTTCTGGCATGATCTTCGGTATTCCTGCAACTCTTATCTAAATTGTTAAGAGTATCTTTTACGCTTGTACTTGGATTTTCTAATGGTGCACTTGAACCAAGGTCAAAGTTCAATATTATGTCGTCTGCTCTAACAGTAGTGAAGGATTTATGTGTATGGTTCTTGTCTGCTTTCTTGTCATATAAATCTTGAGCAGTGAATTTAATATTATGTTCATCCTTCATGACATAAACATCTTTACATCTAATGTTTCTCATCGTCGTTATGTCGTCATCCGATGTTAAACCTTGTGGAAAGTTAGGAGGTTTACAATATAATGCATCCCCACCAGTTCCTTCAACCGTTCCTTCAATACTTTCTATACAACAGTTGTGAAGAAATCATGTGTATGGTTCTTATCTGCTTTCTTATCTAACATTGCTGGTAGTTCATGTGCTTCAAAGTTTCTGACATGACTTCAATTCATACATTTGTTATTTAAGGAGTTTAGTGTATCTTTTACGCTTGTACTTGGATTCTAAAGGTGCACTTGAACCAAGGTCAAGTTCAATATTATGTCGTCTGCTCTAACAGTAGTGAAGGATTTATGTGTATGGTTCTTGTCGCTTTACTGTCTAAAGAAGTTTGAAGTTCATTTATATCGGAGATGTTGTGTTTATGAGATTTCAAAACTTTGTTCGTTGCGTCAAGTTCAACTTTGTCAGCTTTACTTTTAATAGCATCTTCAAACGTTATTTTTGACTTAACTCTCAAAGTAAATCTTGGTTCAACTAATACACCGTTAACATTGAAAGTAGAGGCATAAATTTCACCGGTATAACCAAATGCTTCTGGTGCTTTAGCTACATCATACTGTACAGTACAGCTTATGTCATAACCTTTAGCACGAATGTATTTATATCTTCTTTCATTAACATTTTTTGTCTTCGCTTCATCACTTCGTGTTAAATATCCATGGTAGTCCGTTATAATCTGTTCGTCTGAAGTTATATAATGAACGTGGTTTTTATCTGCTTTTTCGGCTAATTTCTCATTAACATCATTCACTTCTAATTCAACTCTTCCGCCAGAACTCTTATTATCATTAATCTTTTTCATTAATTCGGTAATTACGTCATAAAGACTATATTCTGTTTTCGGTTTTGTAAATAATGAGTCAAAATTTCTTTTCATCATTACATCGCTGACATTAATGATATCACCAATTCCTTTTTCATTTATTCTCTTCATTAATTCTGCAATAATGACGAATATATAATCTGTTAATTTATTCTCTTCATCGAGGGTTATAGAATGTTTTGAAATTGAATCATTAACTCCTCTAAATAAATCAATAACTTCAGGATACACGTTTTTAATGTCTTGAATAACCCGACCAGTATCCTCGCCACTATGTGGCTCTGAGCCCGTTGGGCTCTGTTGTTCATGTTCTTCGTTCCCGTCGTTACGTGGTTTTATATCTCTAACCATCATCAACGCAGCCATAACCGGAGGGTTTGTTGCTACCTGTTCGAAAATCCGTCCGTTATGTATGGTATATCTAAATAATTTCTTTGTGTTTGTTAAAACATTTGAAACAAGTCTTTTAAAACCATCTACAAAATTTCCTGTTTCACCTAATGTTCTTGCAGCATTTACAAGCTCACCCATTCCCGCTTTTGACCCCAAAAACGTCCATATTGCATTTATTTCACTCTGTATAGTTGTCCATTCAGCGAAACTAACACCCGCATTCGCTAAGCTGAAAATGAAATTCAGTGGATCGAACTTAATTCCACCTTCTTTTTCAATTTCAACGAACTCACTAACATGAGATTTTAAATATTCTTTCGTTAAAATTGTTTTCCCCGATGTTATGTCATTAACGAAACTATCACCGTCAAAAGTTAACGAATTCAATTTCGTCGTTGATGCTTTTATTTCATACACCGCTTTATCGATAGTTTTTGGCTCACCTTCTTTAGAAGCATATGAAACATTAATGAATGAATTATATGTATTCATGAATGAGTTAAAATCAATGATTTTCATTAATGACGCCTTTAATGATTCATTAACTGTTGAATCCCTTAAAGTAATTAATGAACTGTCCTTAATGAAAGGTACACTGCAAACCGTCGAGTTTGGATCAAATGCTGTAGTTGGTGCAGGAATATTAATGATATAAGTCATTAAATCATTAAGTGACGTAAATAATGTTGTCGTTTTTGATTTAATTTCTTTAGCATCTGTTATATATGGTAATTTTATTTCTGTAGTTTCTGAATTAAAGATATTCGCTAAAATGTTTTGTAAACTGTTTTGAACAGCAGTATAAACCGTTGAATCCGGAACTCTTACGATTTCACCGTCCTTAATAAAAGGCATTGCACATGGTGTAGTGCTTGGGTCAAATCTTTTTGGGTTATGATTCAACATATATTCTAACGCTTCATGAACAGACTTATATACTGTTGTGTCATTCTTCATGACAACTTCACCATTTACAATGAATGGCATAGTACATGGAGTTAAAATAGGGTCAAACTTTTCATAGTCCTTCCATGTTATGTATTTCTCAGTATTTCCATCAGTGATAACAATATATTTGTCAGTAAGTGTGAGAGAGTATTGACCAAAATATAAACGTTTAGCTCTGTCAGCTTCATACGCATATGCAGCAATACTCATATTTTAATGAGAATAAAATGTTGTTCTATTTGCAAAGTACTGACCCAAACGAATACGGAACAGTAAAGCTACAAACAAACTTAGGTCTTCAGAATGAAGCACTTGCTTTCAGAGTTGTTGACTTCAATACTATCGCTTCATTCGTTATAACAGATGAAACAGATTTCATGGAGTTTGAAATAGATGGAAAGAAGCATGAAATAAGATTTCACAATAATGTAGAATATAAGATGGAAACATTAGCTGGAGTGTTAAATGCGCTCATAAATACTACAATAAACAAGGAGAACGAAGAAAACTTAATGAATGTTAAACTTATTGCAGGAGTTTTGAAGTTCAGTTATGCGAAGGAGTTTAAGATAACACGAATGAGTCATAGAGTTCAATTGCTTCTGGGAGCATACCATATGACATTTCCTTTGAAAAGTGTTGACAAAACGATTGAGATGAAATCTGTTCCATACGTATGTTATGGTAATTGTTTGTACATTGAGTCTAAAATAGCTAATGTCACAGGTATTTCAGGAGTTAATAGTAAAGGTTCAGTAGAATATAAATCCTTCTGTTATGCAGTCAATTCAATGTTCATTCCAAACGTTCCTGTCATAGCAACTCATTTAGGTAAATGGGTTCGCATTAGTCCTCATAATTTGAAAGACATGCAATTCAGACTTGTTGACTTTCAAGGAGAGCCTGTAGAACTGAAGGCACCAGTGCGAATGACTGTTGAAGTTGACTTTTTAGAAAATATTAAATGCAACAGCTTACAAGAGAACTCAGAGCTAAAAATATAAAGTATGAATGTTATGTATTAGGTCATGAACTTTGGTTGTTGCTGTTTGATGAAACAAATGAGTTAGTTATGTCAGTCAAGAGAACAGAAAAAGGCGTCAAAGGCGCCGAGCGCAAAGCGCTATATTGTGTTAGTGAAAACTGCACCAAGTCAATAAGATTAGGTTTGCATTATGAAGATGAGTTCGATACTGTTGAAGAAGTTTTGGATAGATATTACAAATTGCTTTAATTTACTAAAACATATTTCAAACAAAGTTTATATTCTGTTGAAAGTTTTGTATACTCGTTCGAATATTTATACTTAAACTCAACTCCTGTAGTTCCTGGTGTTTCAATGATGCGGATGTTACCTATTTTCATGAATGGTGGCGTTTGACCACAGCATTCGATTTCAGGGTCGAGATAGTCAATGACACATTGTTTCCCTGTTATTCGTGAGATAACATTTTCAAGGTCCTCCTTTGTTAGAATTATTTGGTTCTTACTTATAAGATTTGTCAAAAGCTTCTTATCGTCTTTGAGTAAAATTGTTTGGTATAACTGAAGAAGGTAATGGTCTACGTTATCTGAAGGATTTGTTTGAACATTTGTGTAAGGGTTGTCGTTGGCTTCTCTTGAAAGAATTTGGTCCAGTGGTGGATACTCTAACTTAACATCTGATGTAGCGTTAGCGTTTGAAGCTGAGTTTAAATTCACGGATTTCAGTTCTGGTTCTTTTTCTTTCAAACACTCTGAACTATAGTTCTTTATGACAATATTGTTTGTCGTTCGTGAGTCAACATTTGATGTTGGTTCAATTGGAACATTAACGGCACCAGCTAAGATGGATTTGCTTCTCATTTCATATAGAATAAAAACCTTTTATATGTATGAAATGAACAATATACTCGACAAGGGTTTGAATGTAAAGCTAACGAATGAAAATATTGTTGAATTCACTGAGACAGGTGCTGTGTATAAAGATGTAGAACTACTGAACAAAAGAGCTAAGGGAAGAAGCAGGAACATGAACAAAGGGTGGAAGCCTATAAAAATTTATGTCAATGATGGCTCAGGAGGTTCAAACATAAAGTATGCAGAAAGTTATAGAGTTTATGCTCTCAAAGGTGAAAAGCCTTCATTTAAGAACAGCTATTCTAACGCATATCCTCAAAAGCTAACGGATGGGGAAGTGGATGATATGAATGACAGCAAAAATATTAACAGAAATGGCGACAGAGATGCATGGAATTTGTTTACCATCAGTCAATTGAAGGTTAAACTTTAAAACAATGTTGGTCGTTCCCATGGAATATTTTTGACTTTAATGGTATTAGTCATGATATGAATCTCAAGGTATGAACGAGGAGAGATGAGAGACTTATATGCTTCCCAAATTTCTTCAAAAGGTAATGTTATACCTGACTGTTTCCAAATGAGTTCAATATCATAACGTGAGAAACCTTGAAAGATAACGAAGTCAGTTATGAGACGTTTTATGTTTAAAGCTAAAAACCTCCATGTTTGCATAAGTATTGCTACAGTTAAGTGGTAATGTCTGACTTTAGTAATGATGTTAGCTAATGGTGAGTCAGGCTTTGACACTAAACCTTTTCCGCGAAGTCGTCACAAACGAGCAGAGTGTTTGAAGGATACTTTTTGAAGGGGTATTTTGAAAGTTTTGATAGAATGTAGTTTGTAAGTCGTTTCATATCGTAAACTCCTGAGTATGACGTAAGTGGTGTTTGTCAATAATTCTTTCCATCTCCTCAGAAGTCTTTTGCATTCCTGACTGTATAAATTCAACGATGGCATAATATTTCCTCTTACGTCGAATGTAACGTTGAAGAAATTCAATGAGTTCACTGTCTGGAACTTTAACGACAGAGGCTTGAACTTTTGACATAAATGTTTTCGCTGTTGAGTCCATAGAGTCTGAAGTTGCTGATATAATGATTTGGTCATAATATGAGTCGTTTCCTAAACGCTCTGTTATGAGTATATGACGAATGAGGTTTAAATGTCTTACCTGAACCCATCTTTCCACAATAGAAATAAACCCATTTGAACAGAACTCATAGTCCTTACTGAAAGGAAGAATGAGAGAAGAGTTAAGTTTGTCTGTAGTTTCATTCATGTCTTCATCTACGTCATGTATTAAATGCTTCATTTTATCTCCATTAAAAATGCAAGTCAGAAATATTCAGAACATAGCACCGAGTCTAACTGACAAGAGTATAAAGATATACTATGAACACGTTATGATGAAACCAACCAAAATTCAAGAAAGTCAGTATACTTATGAATATCCAAGACACTGGGTAGAGTATGTAGGAGGTGAGAAAGCTATTGAAATCAGACAGGTTCGAAGTATTCCAGCAGGAAGAACAATATTATTGAAGAACTTTAATGTTTTGAGGTATAATGATGAAACAAAGAAGCAAGATAGTTTTCCTGTTGCTGTGTATGTGAACCTAGACACAGGAGATGACATGAAAGTTTTTAACACAAAGCTTCAAACGGTAGTGAGAGAACAACTGACTGCGGAAGGACATCCATTACCTTCAGAAGTTACCATAGCATATAATTTTGAAACAAACTCAATAGATTTTAAAGTCATCTCTGCAAAGAAGTCAGGTTTTACATTTAATGAAGCAGATGTATATTCGAATGAAAACTTCAAAGCTATTGCATGGTTAGATAATGACGATTGCTTTAAGAAAATATTTAAATTCAGTGACTCAACGATGTCAATAGATGACCTTCGTGGAATGTTACCATCGACGTTTACAGTTGAAGGTTCAGCAGGATTGCTTACAAGATTGTCAATTGGTGGTATTTGGTCTCGTGAGAACATTGTTATAAAATCCAGTATAAGTGAATTTGCTGAAGAATCTATATTATGTCTTTCAAACATATGTATTCGCCGCCGAAGCATTATAGTATAACAAACTTTGTCAGTAAGTTTAACATAAGACTTGTCGAACCTTCTTCAATGAAAGATGTTGTGCTACCTAAAGATGGAAAGGATGGACTCATTATTGAGATGATTTTAATAGCATATTAAATGAGCTTGTTCTTGAAGGTCATTCATGATGAAATAACTGTTGTAGAAGATGTTAGCAATTGTTCAGACATTTTGAAGCGATAGATGATATAAGAAAGAAGTTTATGAAGCCGCAACGCGGCGAGGACGAAGTCCATGAGAATGTTTATGTTTCATTGACTTTCTCCAGTAACGAGAACTTTTATGAGATAATATTGAAGAGAGATGATTTTAATATGGTGTAAATGGTAGCTTGGGCAGCTTTAGGCGCAATGGGAACAAAAGCATTAGCATTTGGAGCAAAAGCACTTGGAGCTTATGACGCAGTAAATAAAATGAGTGGAGGAAGAGTTTCGAAGACATTAGATGCAAATAAAGGAAAGATTGGAGGCTGGGTTGCAAAGAAGTTAAGATTAAATAAAATAGGGCTCATAAATAAAGCATCCAATTTGGTTGCGACTGAGTCAGAAAATGCTTTAGGAAAGGACGATGAGTTTGCAAAACACGCAAAAGACTTTAATGACCAGATGAAAGGTGAAACAATGCATTTAAATAGAGTCGATGGAACTCTTCCTCCACCAGTAGTTCTTCCGTATGGTCCCTATGGAATGTATGGAAACCCTTACGAAAGACCATTTGACCCATTGACTGGTGGAAGTAACTGGTATCATTACGGACGAAGAAGAAAGACAGTCAAGTTGGAGACAGACGTGAAGAAAGCAACTAAAAAGAAACCAAGGAAGAGAGTTATAAAGCAATGAATTCAAGTGGGTGAAAAAGGTGAAAAAAGAGGTGAGATCTCACCACTTCACCTAAATTTATTTTTGTGCTATGTTTTCATACGTGTGAGGGTGGTGATATCATTTAATTTTTTATTTTACTGAAAATTTTTATTTGGATGTAAATGACAGAACAAAAGCAACTCATACAAATCGAAAAATATAACAAACATACATTTAAACATTTATTCTTCCTTCCTGAGCATAACATGTTCTTTACACTTCATCCTAGACCAGTTGACTTTTCATTGACTGTGTATAAAGATTGTCATGGTAGTTTTATAAAAACTTATGATGATGAAGGTAAGTTAACAAGACTATGCATTTCAAAACTTGAGAAACTTTATGACTTCAAGTATGACTACAATAGAGTTAACATTGACGATGAAGATATAGAAGAAAATTTATGAGAACGTTTATTTTTTCATTAGTGAGTTCGTTAGTGAGGTGAAATGGTTGGCGGCTTTGTAAATATTTAAGGTTAAGTTAGTTTTTGCGTTCATGTTGTAAAATGTACGTTAACGGTTTTGTAAAGTGTCAAATTCACAAGTATTGGGTAAGGTGGAACGCAGTGCCACCATACCCAAGACTGGTGTACTAACTTAGAAAAATATATTGAGGGTATAGAGTTTGTGAGATGTTATTGGACAGAGTTGTATGAAAAATATAAAGACAAGGAAAATGTTTTCTTTATAGTGGACCCGCCGTTCTATAACACATGGGATTTTCAATACCAAGTAGACTGGACTTTGAGAGACTCTTTAGAAACTTTAGACGTTTTACATAACCATCCATGCTTTTACTTTACATCCGATAAAAGTGGTTTGGAAACCGTTATGAGATGGTTAGAGGACATACATGACTATGAGTTTATATATGACAAGATAGAATATGAGAGAGGTCCTATAAACTGGAGAAAGTGTCACAATAAAGAAATTTTATTAGTAAGTAAATGTGGTTTGAAATAGGACTACTTGTTTTAGGTTTTTTCCATTGTGTCATTTATTTATTTGACGTGGCAGAAAAGTACAGAGAATATGAAGATGAACCAATGCCTGCAAATGTTCAGTATATGTACTCGTAAGAGATATTTTTTATCTAATATTAAATGGACGCACCACAGAACTTAGCGAATGCACAGCAACCTGGACAACCAAACCCAGAGAATATTCCAAATGAAGTTAGAATACAAACTGCAATGGCAAACTATGGTCAAGTGCCAACAGATGTACAAATGCAAACTGCCATGTCAAATGACGCTGCGTTAGGTTTGCCACCATGGTATGCAAATATGAGATGGAAAGAGTTTTATACAAACCCTGAAGTGGGATATAAACAACTTTATGCAGATGACGCGAACACAGGAGTTGACCCAGAATATGTTTTCTACCAGAGGAGAAACAGAATGTATGAGCTCCAGTTAAAGAATGCTATGGAACTCAACAGGAAACGTAAGAGACTAGGCGGACATTAGATTTTTACATATAGTAAAATGGGTTTCTTCAGTAAGATAGGAAACTTCTTTCGAAATGTTGGAAGAGGTATATGGAATGGAATAAAAACCGTAGGAAGAGGAATTTGGAACGGAGTCAAAAATATTGTAAAAGAGTAGGTCAGTTTGTTGGTATTATACCTAAAGACCCTGAACCAGAAGAACAAGCTCCTGTTATACAACAGCCTGAACCTGCACCACAGTCTAGTTGGCAACCAAATCCAACACCTCAACCGTATTAAAAAATTATATTTTTACCGTTCGATAGTAGTTGTATATGAAACTAAGTTCTAAGTAAAACGCATGGTATAATGGAATTATTCTTTTTCTTCCATCTGTAGTAAACCATACTTGAAAGTCTGAAATACTTCCACTTGGTGGTTCATATAACTTTGTAGGTTTTTCGTAAAAGTCATTTGCCAAGCATAAGAAAGAGTTTTGAGCGCCAGAAAATGAAGCATGAACAATAATAGCAGCTGGGTCGAAAACATCTTTAAATAAATATGGTTCATCTCTTGCATATCGACTGTAAATATTTGCTAAAGGAAGTTTGACTTTCTGATTTAACATTCTTTGCAAATAATACCATGACATTGCAGTGAATTCTGTATATATTTGTTCGTCTTTCTTTGGATTGTCTTCGTAGATTTGAAATGACACTTGTGAATTTTGTTTGTCATATACAATTCTCACATAAAGTGTGCTCTCGGTATTTGCATATTCATCAGCATATTTTGCATAACATGAATTTATTTTATCTTCTATATTTTTTAACGCAGTCTGTGAGAAGATGAAAGGTCAACTTGTATTAGCTCAATTTCTTCCCACATTTTTCGTTTCCCTTCAGATATATAATCTATATGAAACCTTACAATAAATGGAAAACTTTTATCTTCTACAGACACAAACTTCATTCTACGAAAGCCAATAGCTTTTGTGACAGATGGGTCTCTTAGCCATCTTAATGGGTAGTCAAAACGATAGCCTTCATGCTTTACGTCTCTGTCTCAAACTTTTGACCGACATTAGTAAAAAGTTCATCTAATGGTTTAGTTGTAGCAACTCTTGAATTTTCTTTTTTATTGGAAGCATATTTTATCTAGAATAAAAAATGTCAAATGAAACAGCGTCTATGAGAGAAATACAACACAACCGACAACTCATTGTGCAAGCTCTAAATAAGAACACAACAAACTTTTCAAACTATTCTAAGATATCTGAGTCATTGAAAGAAGGAAACTTAAAACTGACATTAAACCCAATGACAGATGAGTTTCTGTTTCAAGACAATAAGAACCATACTGTCTGTATAAATCCAACAAAAGGAACTTTAAACGAGAAACCTATATCTGAACTTCTTTTGAAAGCAGATATTGACAACAAAGCTGACAAAGAATATGTCATTGAAAAAGTTCAAGAAGAACATGACAGAGCAGATGCAACATATGCAACGAAAGAACATACTCATCCTGAACTAGCAGACAAACATATGTTGACAATAAAATGTCAAGTGAAGTGACAAGAGCTGAAACGAATATTCTAAAAAGACTCATACACATTCTATATCTGAAATAACAGACTTAAACGTTAGCCTTGAAAAGAAAGCAGATAAGGAATATGTGGCTAGTGTGTTAGAGAAGAAAGCGGATAAGGAATATGTGGATGAAAAAGATAACGAAATTATAGAAAGGGTTGACTGGTACCATGAACGGACATCAAAGATTTTAAAAACTAAAGCCGATACAGGATGGGTTTCAGGATGTTTAGACCTTAAAGCAGATAAAACTTATGTTAACGATGAGTTAGAGAAGAAAGCAAATAAGAACCATACACATACAAGTTTTACAACTGTTGCTATAGAAAGTATTGAAGGAACGGTTGAAGAAACTGGTGGGGATGCAATATATTGTAAACCTCCTAACTTTCCACAAGGTTTAACATCGGATGACGACATAACGACGATGAGAAACATTAGATGTAAAGATGTTTATGTCATGAAGGATGAACATAATATTAAATTCACTGCTCAAGATTTATATGACAAGAAAGCAGACAAAAAAGAGCTTCAAACATTAAAGACAGAAATACTTCAAACATTATATCCTATAGCTCTATTTATACGTCAATGAACTCTACCAGACCAGAAGTAGTACTTGGTTTTGGAACTTGGACTCAAATAGTCGACAGTTTTTGTATTGTGCAAACTCTTCAAAGGAAACAGGTGGAAGTAAAACGATTTCAGGTGAAAATTTACCTGCACATAGTCACTACATAGATTTAAGTACATCTCAAGCAGGTTGGCATAAGCATAAATTTTGGGATTGGTCGGCAATGACAAAAGGTAAAGGATATGATGTTAAAGACAACGTTCAGTTTGCTATAAATTGTTTCTGGGGTAACACTCAGGGAGATGGAAACCATACACATCGCGTTTCAGGTATACACAAACAACGGGACAAAGTAAGAATATATGCCACCTTACATGACAGTTTACGCATGGTATAGAATTGCTTAGTCGTCATTTCAACTTCTTTAGCATATTCGTCAGGAGTTGTCTTATATTTGTTAGGAACTGTCTTTGAAAGTATACCACTTTGAACTTTGACAAGTTTGAAACGAGGTCTGACAATAGTAGTTTTATCTTCTGCTTGCAGTGTGTACATTTTGCCATGTTTGCCTAAAACTTCATAATATTCTCTTGTATACTTTCTTCTATTTTTACGAACACGAATGTGAGTACCTGTCGGGTTCCCATTGTTGTCATAGTCAATAGTATTTTCATATGGGTCGCGTTTGGGTATTTCTATTTTTACTTTGTCACCTTTCTGAAGTTTGAAGCCCGGCATTCTTTCTTGTTTGTCTCTTTTGACTAAATTATTAAATATATAGTCTTTCTCTAAGTCGGGGTTGTTTTTCATTTCTTCGGGGGAGTGGTTTCCCAAACCTTTTTGTTTACGGTTATTGTAAATATTTAAAACTTGTCTCATCTTTGCCATGGAGAAGTGTCTATATTTGTCGTCATATGACATTTCATTTGCTTCACCACCTTGTGGTTGGTTTAAGTCTCTTAACATTTTTATACAACCGTCAATGACACCAAGAGCAGAATGGTTTTGGTCGACAATGAAATATTGGTTTACATTTTTTGAACGCAGATAGTTTTTTAACCATCATCTGATTTGAAAGAACTTTCACAGTCAGATGTCAGTTTTTGTTGGATGGTATTTGTCAACGAATATTGTCAAAGCAGTTTTTACATCTAAAATATTTTTGGACCATAATGGTATGGCTTCACAGTATCTTGTGTTTTGACCAAACAATATTAACCAGTATGGAGGTCCATCTGTTCTAACTCTCGAATGTTTTCCAAGATATCCATAAACCAAGCATTTGGTGTTGAACTAAAGATTTTTATCATGAGTGCTTTCTTTGTCGCTTTAGAAACATAGGGTCCTTGTTCGGATTCGTCATTTTTTACCCTATAAGAAATGGGTTTATTTGGCGCATTAGCAGGAGTTGCATCCAGATTTTTGCCCGCAGTGGGAACAATAGCCAGAGGTGTATTTGGAGTTGGAAGGAAGATTTTGAGTACATTAGGTATACTTAAAGAGAAAGCACAACCTATTATACAAACTGTACAGAAAGGTTGGATGTAGCACGAGATGCAGCAAATCTTATTCCAAATCCTGAAACAAGAGGAAAAGTTCAAGGATGGATGGACAATGTAGGAAGACAAGCAGGAAACTATTATAACAAAGCAAATGACTACTATAACCAAGCAGGACACTATATGGACCAAGGTGAAAGATTCTTTAACAGAGGATATAACCATGCACAACAATGGGTAAACAATAACCAACCTCAACCGCCTCAAACGTGGGGAATGTAAAGTTTTTTACTGAGATGAAATGAACAATACAGCATTGAGACAAATGGGTTCAAGATGGATTTGTCGACTTCCAGCAGTTACACCACGTGTTTGTCAAGTTCTTCCTATACCTCAGGAAGTTTAGACCGACTTAAAAAACAACAACAACCAGTTGAAAACAAACCAAACTAAAATTTTTTACTGAGATGAAATGACCGAAGAAGTTGAAACGGTAGATTTGACACCACAAACAAAAGTTCAGAACCATTGTCAAAACCTGTCAAAGAACTTACAGATGAAGAGAAAAATTCAATAATAGAAAGTGCCAGGTCTGGAAATACAAACCCTAACTACAAAGTCACTTTTCATAGAAATGGAACGGCTAGTATCTCAAAAAAAGAAACAGACTCTCACAAATAAATATTGAAGTCTGAAGGAGCTTTCGAGACAACAGATGGAAAAGTTTACTTCACTGACCAACAGTTCATTATAGAACATCTCATTGACTTAGAGTCGAAATATTCTAAACTTTACAACAAACACAAAAAGTTGAAAGGAAAACAAAAACAAATGGCATATGATATTTATGAAGATGTTGACAACACAACTGTTCCTGCAGGTGAGGTAAAGTCAGAGGAACCGAAAAGTGACGAAAAACCGATAGAAGAAGAAAAACCAAAAACTGAAGATAAACCAAAACCAAAGTTTAGTTTGGAAACTAAACCAAGTCAACCTTCATTAGCTGGTATGGGTTGGCGTCAAAGACTTATGGCAGCAGGCGGTTATGTTAAGTAAAGAAAAAAACATTTTTTTATTTTTATAAAAATGCCCCCATATAGAATGGATAGAAAAATCTGCTAGAATAAAAGCAGAGTTGCAAAAGATATGGTTGGAGAGTTTTCGAAGAAGTTTAAATATAGGAAGGGAAGACCCATAAAAGTCTATGACAAACTGGCTGGTCTTCGCTACGAAATGGATTTGGAAACAGCACGTGCCAATTATCCAAACAGACTAGAGAGGTTAGAAGAAGAACGTCTTATGGACATGCCTTTCGATGTTAGTGAACATTGCATGAAGTAAAAAATTTATTTTTAAAAAAGTGACATTTTTTATTTTATTTGAAATGTACGCTGAGTTTGTTGGAGAAGACCGTTGGGAAACTTGTTTGTTAGATGAGAAATATGAAATTCACTGTTGTGAGTCATTTGAAGTCAGAAACAAAAAGACAAAAAGAGTTTTAAGCGAATGGGAGGGGAATGACGGATATGCTATAGTTAGTATGGGTGGAAAACACTATCTTAAACATGTTGTCATTGCAACTCATTTTATACTGAATCCTAACAATTTACCTTTTGTAGACCATATAAACCATATAAGAAACGACAATAGACTTGAAAACTTACGTTGGGTCACTTGTTCTGAAAACAATAAGAACAAAGGCAAATTTGGAGATATTGTATTCGAATTTGTCGACGAACTAGACGATGAAACAATTGAAATTACAGACTATGGCAAGCATACGTTTGAGTTTTTACTACTATAGCGAAGAACAAGACTCTTTCTACTTTTATACCGGCGTAAACTATAGGAAATTACAAGTATATTTTACTAAGGCGGGCTATGCTTATGTAAACACTAGAGATACAGATGGAAAAAACGTTCAAATACTTCTTAACAAATTCAAGAAGCTATATGGCATACCATTTTAAAACAATATATTTTTACATATATTAAATGCTTCAGGTTGAAAAACAAAGAACAAAAGTAGCAGATACAAAACCGTTAGACTATATCTTTACAAATGCTGGTAGGACAATATCAGATGAAGAAATTTCATCCCGAATATACAGGTTTGACTATCCAATTCGTTGGCTTCAAAGTCCTTCAGATGCAAAGGCAATAGGATTTAGAAGAGTTTTGTTTTCAAATAGAACTAACGCATTTATGTTCGCAGTATTTTCATGGGCAGTATAAAGGTTCTGATGGTCTAATAGACAAATTTGACGAAATGAGAATCTTTACAGTTCGTTCAGACGAAAGTCTTGAGAAAACTCTAAATGACTTTCAAACTCAAATGAACAAATATTATTGGGAATTTCAAGAAAAATACGACTCTTTACTAAATGGAACATACTATCTGAAACTAGAATATGACAAGATGAACTCCACCGTTTCATTTCAAAAGATTGAAATTAACCCTCCAAGAGATACAGAGTTTTTATATTGGGGAGTAGACAAACGTTCTTGGGCACAATTTCTTCGGTTACTAAACCAGAACGAACCATTACCACCAGATGGTCCATTTAAATTTATACTTCCACCAGCAGATTTGACAGTTTATAGAAACGTGTTTGACCCTCAAAATGTTATGTGTCATGCAAGTTTCAGTTCAAGCAACAATAGTTTTCTATGTATTGGTAAGGACTTTTATGACTTTGCTTCTAAATTCTACGAACCACCTAGTAACAGTTTCTCTGACTTTCAAGTTTGGTTCACAACAAATGGTGTGCAACATATTATTCCATTGTACTATGACTTTTATCTCGAATTGTCTTTCATATATAACTACGGAAAAGTGCTGAAAAAGTATTGAATGTGAAGATATTAGAAAATAACATTTTTTCTAACATCGTAGAAAACTCATGAAAACAATTTATTTTTGTGAATATGCAAGCGGCTCATAGCTCAGTGGTATGGGCTACCTCGTTAAAGGCGTCGAAGACCTCGGTTCAAATCCCGATTCGCGCAGGTTTTTTCCTTTTATGCAGTGAAATTTCATGTACATGGGTTACTTTGGTGTTAGACCCTAGTGAAGAAAATAGAACGATATAAGTTTACATTTGTAAGGTTACTTTGGTGTTAGACCCTAGTGAAGAAAATAGAACGATATAAGTTTACATTTGTAAGGTTACTTTGGTGTTAGACCCTAGTGAAGAAAATAGAACGATATAAGTTTACATTTGTAAAGTTGGACGATAAAAATCTCTGCTACTGTCAGTAAAAGTACTGCTACTGTCAGTAAAAGTACTGCTACTGTCAGTAAAAGTACTGCTACTGTCAGTAAAAGTACTGCTATTGTCAGTAAAAAGGAAAATTTGAGAGGGTTTTCGACGATAAAGTACTGCTACTGTCAGTAAAAGTACTGCTACTGTCAGTAAAAGTACTGCTACTGTCAGTAAAAGTACTGCTACTGTCAGTAAAAGTACTGCTACTGTCAGTAAAAGTACTGCTACTGTCAGTAAAAGTACTGCTACTGTCAGTAAAAGTACTGCTACTGTCAGTAAAAGTACTGCTACTGTCAGAAAAAGTACTGCTACTGTCAGTAAAAGTACTGCTACTGTCAGTAGCAGTACTGCTAGTAGCAGAGATTTTTATCGTTTGTGGTCCGACGGTTAAGCCACAAACGAATGTCCCACGTCCCACCAACCCAGTCCATTCCCAAACCAGAGGAACCTAAAGAACCACAACAGTCTCCTCAGCAACCTCAGTTCCAGCAAGTACCTCCGATTTACTACCAATTTCCACCTCAAGGTTACTACCCACCACAAGGCTTCCCGAACTACCCTCCTCAGCCTATGCCTTACTTCCCCAACCCTTGGATGTTCCAGCAAGCTCCACCCCAGCAATTCCAATCTCAATCCAAATCGAAGAGAGACCAAGAGTTCGAAGAAGGTCTGAACCGTTTACGCAAAGATTATGCCACAGCCCCTATTGAGAGAAAGTTGTTCCCGGACCCAAAAATATAATTTAGGGTAGAAGGTTAGATCTAACCTGTTTTTTCACCTCTTTTTTCACCCTCTTGAATTTTCATGACTTCTTCGTAAATGTTTTGTCATGACTTCTTCGTAAATGTTTTGTCATGACTTCTTCGTAAATGTTTTGTCATGACTTCTTCGTAAATGTTTTGTCATGACTTCTTCGTAATGAGCGTAAAGGACCCAAAAATATAATTTAGGGTAGAAGGTTAGATCTAACCTCTTTTCTACCCTCATTTCACCTCATGAATTTTCATGAATTTTCCCGAAATAAAAAATAAAGTTAGTTTTATTTTGTATGTAAGATATGATTTCAGGGATTTTTTTGACGAAGTGTCACTCTTCACTTCGTCAAAAAATAACAGTTATATAATGAAAAAGTGTCATTTTTTTGTATTTTTTGTATAAAAGATATGATTTCAGGGATTTTTTTGACGAAGTGTCACTCTTCACTTCGTCAAAAAATAACAGTTATCTAATGAAAAAGTGTCATGATTTCATCGTAAATGTTTTGTCAAGACTTCTTCGTATATGTTTTGTCATGACTTCATCGTACATGTTTTGTCAAGACTTCTTCATCGTAATGAGCGTAAATGTTTTGTCATGATTTCATCGTAAATGTTTTGTCAAGACTTCTTCGTATATGTTTTGTCATGACTTCATCGTACATGTTTTGTCAAGACTTCTTCGTAATGAGTGTAAAGGACCCAAAAATATAATTTAGGGTAGATGGTTAGATCTAACCTGTCTTCTACCCTCTTTTCTAACCTCTTGAATTTTCATGACTTCTTCGTAAATGTTTTGTCATGACTTCTTCGTAATGAGTGTAAAGGACCCAAAAATATATTTTAGGGTAGATGGTTAGATCTAACCTGTCTTCTACCCTCTTTTCTACCCTCATGAATTTTCATGAATTTTCCCGAAATAAAAAATAAAGTTAGTTTTATTTTTTTATTTTTTTTTATTTTGTATAAAAGACATGATTTCAACAATCGGCACAACAACAGTTCAAACAACAACAGCACCTAACTCGTTAGTCATGAATCCAACATCTATGTTAGTAGAGATGAAAAGCTTCATTCCTTCTTCATATACTTTTGAAACAGAAATCCAGAAGATAAAGCAAGAACTTTTAACAAGTAATTTAGACTGTAGTGCGAAAGATGAAACAAATGAACAGTATCTTTATGAAATGCAGGACATTATTGACCATTTGCCTAAACTACCTGAAATCCAACAACAAAAACTCACTATTCCTGAATTCGACGAAATTGAAGTCAAAGCAACTGACTCAGTAGAAATAAAGAAGTTCATTCGTAAGGTAAATTATGAATTCCTTGGTTTTCATTGCAACCATAAAGTTATGGACAAAGATTGCGACATGGTATATAAGAATGTTTCTGACATATATAAATCCGGGGAGTTTAAGACCTACGACAACTTTGTTACATTAGTTGCAAAATGTGTATGGCAGATAAGAGATAAAGATAAAAGATGTAAAATATGGAATGAACAAATAAGACCCGCTATGTTTGAGTTAAAGAAAACCATTGACGCTTTAGTTGTTTTAGCAGGTAAGGTTTCAGAATATAACACAAAAATGAACCCGCAATGTTCAAAATGTAAAGCGGCAATGAGGAGATATAACTACTCCGTCAAAGAGATAGAAAGAATGAGAAACGACTATGCAGATTTAAAGAAAGAAGCAGAGAAACCAGCAGAAAATAAAATGGACATGTTAGCATTTCTGAACAAAAACTATCCAACTGCTGACGATTTCCTTCTATCTGACGTCAAGAAGAAGTATAAAGAGACTTTCGGCATTGTTAAAACTTTTGACATACTGACAGAAGAAATAGAAGCTACAAAACTGTTTAGAGTCTCACGAATTCATAACGTTTACCATGTGAAACGTTTATAAAATAACTGGGGTAGAAAAGAGGGTAGAAAGGAGGTTAGATCTAACCTTCTACCCTAAAATATATTTTTGCTGAATTCCGTATGAAATTTCATGAGTTTTGTGTGTTTTGGACCATGTTAGAAAACGTGTTAGATCTAACATTCTAACATAAACTTTATTTTTGCTGAATTCCGTATGAAATTCTGAGTAAAATGGCATATGTTTGCTACCCTCGGAGAACCGAGGGTAGAGATTCCGTATGAAAATCATGAAGAACAGCGAGTAGGTAAAAAAACCCAGTCGCCAAAACTCTATGAAAATCATGAGTTTTCCTTAAGACAGAAAAAATAAAGTTAGTTTTATTTTTATTTATTTTTTTATTTTGTATGTAAGAACAGAAATGACAAACACTGAGTTTGAAACAGTTAGAAAAATAGACAATAACACCAAATTGGTTAGAATAGGTGATTTAAACGTAAGATACTCAAAGAAATACAACAAATATTCTTTGTCAGACATTATATCTCCATCTGGAAAGAAACCGAAGGACTGGGTTAAAATTGCTTCTACTCAGAAAATTTTGACAAGAAATCCTGAGCTTATGATATCAGTAGCATTTCATGGAACAAGAGCATATCTTATAGACAAAAGTCTTATACCAATAGTTTTGTTATGGTTAGACCCAGTTGTTGGATATAACTTCATAACTTATGGTTCATTCGATACGGAACGTTGCAGTGAAGGCTTACTTTACATCGTTCAGAAACCGAAGGACTTCAATACAAAGAGATATAAGATAGGAAGAACATATAATATAACTCAAAGATATGACAGTACAGTCAATAGAGTCAAGGTTGTGTTCGTTAACGATATGAGAGCTGCTGAAACAGAACTACTTGAAAAGTTTGAGAAAATGTATGGTGCTCCCATAAAAGGTAAAGAAACGTTTGAAGTAGATGAGATAGATAAAGCTATAAAATTATTTGACGAAGTTGCTGAAAAATACATGTAAAAATAACGTTTACCATGTAAAACGCTTGTGAAAAAAACAGGTTAGAAAAGAGGTTAGATCTAACCTTCTACCCTAAAATATATTTTTGCTGAATTCAGCAACAAAATTCTGAGTAAAATGGCATAAGATTGCTTCCCTCGGAAACAGTGAAGAACAGCGAGTAGATAAAAAAACCCAGTCGCCAAAACTCTATGAAAATCATGAATTTCCTTAAGATAGAAAAAATAAAGTTAGTTTTATTTTTATTTATTTTTTTATTTTGTATGTAAAGACAGATATGTCAACAACAGAGAACACAACAACAGTTATAGTCCATGAAGCTATAAATGAAGAATATGAGTGGGTTCAGTTTAACAAACAACTCCGTCTCATTCGTTCGGTCAAAGACGATATGTACCAAATGCAAAGTATTTTGACAGCATGTTTTGCTCCAGATACTAAACACGCAGACGACTGGTTTAGGAACCAAAGCACACAAGAACTTTTGAGTGAAATTTCTCTAGACCGACTTTTTCCGGCCATGCATAAAACACATGAAAATCGTAAAAATTTGCCAATAAATTTAAGAGGATATTATGTACATAGACTTTTAGTAAATGCTGTTGCAATGTGGGCTTCGCCTCGTTATGCTTGGTATATTTACAGACTTCTTGACGAAATTCATAGACAAGAACGTGAAGATATGGAAAAGAAACTTCATGCAAAAGATGAAGTCATTGAAGCAAAAGACAAAAGCATTCAGAAAAGAATACCACGTTCGGTACCAAAAGGAAAGGAAAAGAACTATAAGTATATGATTTATACTGAAGAGATGGAAAATGAAGAAGACAGAGATATGGTTATGTTGCATTTAGTCAGAAGAAACAACAAAAGCTTTTACGACCTTGCTAAGATTTACAAATCTGACAGAAATTGGTTCTATCGCGAAAACTTACCGATTTCAATGACACCGAATGAAGATGTGAAACAAATAGTTCAAGATACGTTACCTCAAACACACTATGATATTAAAGGTTGTACAATTTTTACCTTCAAAGAAGACTTACCATTGTTAAAGGAAAAAATAACAGAGTATTTTGACAACTTCAAACAAGTAGGGTAGATGAACCATTTATTTTTCAAGCTTGACTTCAGATGGCTCAGGTAGCTCTATAAGGTAAATTGCCTTGTCAAATCCTTCTGGCATTCCGAGTCCTTCCTTCCGACAGAAAAAGTTTTTCCCGACAACTGGAAAAAGTTCTTCCTTCCGACAGAAAAAGTTTTTCCTTCCGACAGAAAAAATTTTTCCCGACGACAAGAAGAACTCTTCCAGTTGTCCGTCCGTAAACCATTCAAATTTTCGAAAATTGAGAACTTTTTGGTCGAACTTCAGAAAAAGTTTTTTCTTCCGACAGAAAAAGTTTTTTCTTCCGACAGGAAAAAATTTTCATTCCGACAGGAAAAGTTCTTCCATCCGACAGGACACAAACGGACGACTGACGTTCCTCTTCCTGAATGCCTTCCAAAGCCAGAAGAACCGACAGCCCCAGCACCACAACAGACTTACTAAGACTAAACACTTACATTTTTCAAGCTTGACTTTTTACAATTTGAACTTTGTTTGCGTAGATATGAATTCTGAAAGAAGTATGAGGGTCTTGTATGACTTTGTACTTCTCCCATAGTTCATGTCTGTCAAACTTACCTGCCATGGACTCTTTCATAAGTTCCATGAAATCGTCTTCGGACAATCCGGGGAAAAGTACAATGTCAGTAAGTATTCTTTTAACATCCTTACTTAAACTCTTTGCTGTCTGTACACAAATGACAACTGAGATGTTAAAGTGTCTGAGCTTCTTAAGAATTCGACACATATCTTGTTCTCTATTCTTTAACAAAGGATGAGAGGCGAAATCATCTAAGATAAGAAGACACCTATGAGGGTAAGTCTTCCAATCGTAAGATTGCAATTTCTTCGAAATGTATTCTATCTCTTTCTGTTTGTTTCTGAAGTGTTTCTTCTCTAATATTCTCTGCATTTCCTCATTTGGGTCTTTAAACTTAGAATTTATATACTCATTTATAGCATTATACTTCAAAACTCTTCTTTGGTACTTCTTTATCCAATCTAACAACTCAGTATCCTTTATACATACTAACTTAGACTTCTTTATAATATTTTTGAACGAATTGACGGTTTGGTCAAATTGACCAGAAGTACTACAAATAACAACTAACTCATAGAATGGGTTCTTCTCATCTAGTTCTTGTTGTTGTGCAGCCATTTTAAGATAAGTGAAAGTCTTACCCGACCCAGGTGGTGCAATTAGACCTGTTATACCATTCTGAGCAAATAAGAACTTGTCATGTATAGGCTTTATCTGAGCATTTTCTAACTTCCTCTTGTTCTTGTTTAAAACATTCTCAAATTTCTTGTCAATGTCAGCAAACTTTTTTTCTAACATATTTTTAGAAAAATTAAAATTTTTATCTTTTAGAAAATGTCTAGCGATTTCGCTATCTATATTCGAGACAAGCTTTTCGACAGCAAAACATCTGTCGACCATAAAATCTTACATAGTGTAAACAAGAAAGGTGAATTTGTTCTAAAGTTCTGTTTCTGGGAATATGACAAGAACCATAAAACATTAAGCAGAGCAGTCTTAAAATTTGTCAATGACAGACTTGTTGACAGAGATGACGCCGATTGGAGAGATGAAGTCCAACAAAACTTCTTAGAATGCAAAGAAGACACATGCGCTGTTCTTGAAGATGAAATAGAAAACAGAATAGAAGAGCTATTAAAGGACAAAGAACTTTTACATAAATATGGTTGCGCCAAATTTGACATAACTCCACCAGAAAAGAAGAAGAGAGAAAAGAAAGAAAAGAAAGTAGAAGAAGAGAAGAAAGAACCTGAACCAGTTCCAGAGAAAAAGAAATTTGACATGTAAAAATAAAATTTTATTTTTAGAACATTTCTGGGTCAATGTCAATGTTCTCTTCCTCTTTAGGAGTAAACACTGGCTTAGACTCTAAAATCTTTTTACCCAATTTACCTTGAACTTCAACTATCTTAGACTCATAATATTCATAGTCGTCTGCTTTCTTTGGTTCATAAGGTATAACAAGTTTGTATGCTTTGCCTTCTTTAAGGTTTGAGAACCTTCTGTCAAAATTTTCTTTGACTGCTAACAAACCTTCTATGTCTAAGTCTTCAAATTTCGCACCATTTTTAGTCACAATAGCAAACTTAACTGGTTCGATGTTCCAAACTTTGCTGAATGAAGACTTTTCAAAATGGTAGAAGTAAACATTCAAATATGTGAATGGGTCTAGTTCTTCTTTAAGTCCTGACATGTACTTGTTTACTGAGATGAATTTTGCCATCTTTTCTATCGGATAAAAAAATATTTTTTTTAAAATTTACTCAGAAAAATTTTTCTTTGTATATACACCATTCTGAACATCTAAAAGACTTTTGACATTTGCCAAGAATGTTCGTTTAGAAGCTGCCATATAACCATATTCTTGACAATATTGTTTATACGAATCGTACAATGACCTTTCATCTAAACACTCAAAGTCAGTTTCATCTATGAACAGTTCATATACACTCTTGTTTGCTTCTAACAATGTTTGTCTCTCTTCGGTATGTGGAATTTGTCTTGGATTGAACTTTGAAATATCTAATGTCATAAAATATGAGAACAAGTGGTTGTAAAAGTCAGATGTCAAAGTTTCTGCTAAGTCGTCAAAATATTCTGTATCTTGCATATGAGAATCTGACGTTCTGACAACTACATATCTTCTGTCAGAACTTTCTAACTTCATCGGAACAGTATTGTTTGAAACCATAATGAAGTTTGCAACATTCTCACAAACTCTTTGGTCTTTATATTTTCTTTCAACAACTCCAACTTTGTCTGTTATAAGACTCTTCAAAGCATCTGAGTTCAAAAACTTTTGTTGTATCTATACTTTGAAGTTCGTTACATACTATAAGTTTCATATTCTCTATTGAGGAGTTTAAACTTGCCACAGATGTTTTCTAAGTTTGTCATATTCGGGTTCGAATAGCCCTCTAACAGTTTGCATAAGATATCTGTAAAGAATGTGTTCTTACCAGTTCCTTGTTTTCCAATTATAATGAGAGCAGTTTCATTTTTAGCACTTGGATGTTGTAAGATGTTTGCAAACCAACATAAGATATACTCATAAACCTTTTCGTTTCCATTGCATATAATTTCTTTGACATGGTCTAACCAAGCTTCTATAATATTTTCTTTCCATTCTACTTGTTCATATTTATATCCAGTGAAGATAGAATAGAAGTTTGGAGAAGGTGTATAGAACTTTATACCTCGAACTGAAAAATCTTCTAACTTTGACAATAAGATATCCCAAGCATCTAACATCTTCATTCCAACTTGTACGACTTTTATTTTCTTAAGTTTCTGTCTACATTCTTGTTCAGACACTATTGTCGCTTTAGGTTTGTTAAAGACTACATCCCATTCTTTCATAACATAACATTCTGGGGCAGAGTCGACATAAATGACTAAACGTTTCAAATTCTCGACTGCTTTGTTATAGTCTCTAAATGGACACATATTTCTGAATGCTTGGAAGTCATAAAAATCTGAAACATCTATTCTGTACATTTTTATAAAAATAAAAAAAATTTTTTTTTTTATTCTTGACTTTGTTGTTCCATTTGTTGCATTTGTTGTTCTTGAGCTATTTGTTGTTGAAGTTGTTCTTGTAATACAATACTTTCACCAGTTGCATCTTCCAATTCGAAACTTTCTGCCGTCATTGACAAATACATAGGACATAAAAGTTTTACAGGAACAAAGTTTGCGTCAACTAATGTCAACGTTATACTTGCCAAGTGTTTGAGTTCACTAAGGTTGAAAATTCTGCATTCGAATGAACAATAGGCAAACCAGCAGAGAAAGTATTGTTTATACGCATAAGTATCTTTTGGTCATAATAGTTTCTGTCGACATTCGAATAAC